CATCAAGGAGGTTTAACAGTCTAAGTGACTGTGCAATGACTGATGACGACAACAATAGACATCGTAAGAGTACATGGGACTTGAATTTCTATACTAGCAGCATTGAATGAGTGTGGTAGCAACCGAGGGTTCTGTGAAAAATGTAAGAACAGGAAGAATGGAATGCGAGAGAGGGCGGGGGGTATCGCCACGGGGGCTGCAGGGTGGGGCACTGATCTTGCTGTACCCCTGCAGCCCTGGGGGCAGTGTCCACCCACTTTCAGTGTGTGTGTGTCTGTAGGGGGGAGGGGTTGGCCCTTGTCAAGGTGGCCTCCTACTTTAAGAGGACAAACCATGCAATATTGGGGGTGGGGGGTATGAGTTTTGCTTTGCATGAGCAAGCTGCCCCACAGACTTCTATCCACAACTGTCAACCCCCCCGCCACAGTGGAAATAAAATAAAAATGAAACTCTGATGAAAATAAACGCCAATTCCTCCTGTGAGAATACCAGATATTAATATCTGAATTATGTCACCGTCACAAGACACCTCACGGATCAATGTTTTATATTTGCTTGTAATAAACCAAAAAAGGCTCAGTGGAAAACTTAAGAAAAAAAGAACAGAAAAAGGAGCATTAAAGGAAAGCAGATCTACAGAAGATTTGAAATTGGCATCAGTCTTTCCACACAAATAAAACACATAATTACCTTCCCATTGGGTCTGAAAACGATGGACTTGTTTTCATCATATTCCAGGCTGTGGGAAAGAAGGAGAGCGCGTTTTTTCTTTTCAAAGCACTGAGGATTCTAGGGGGTCTACACAAGCTCCCTGGGGGAGGATTGGACAGGCCGCTGCATGCAGGGTACCAGGGTGTGAAGACTATGGTACATGGGAGATGAACATACAATGTGCTGACCAACAGATTACAGTCAGTCTCTCAGACAGCTGGTAGCCAGGTTTCACCTAGAAAGGTCACATGTTACTGAAATATCCCCTTCTCTCAGGAAAGGCATGCAAATTCAGATTCAAGATTTCAGATTCAGAATACTTTATTGATCCCTGAGGAAATTATGAGGATACCGTTGCTCCTGGACAGTAAGAAAATAATTACCAAGTTAAATACCAAAAACAAATAATACAAATATAACAATAGCAAAATTATAAATGTCTCTAAAGTAAAAGATGAAAAAGTATGGAAAAAAAAAGTTTAAAGGCTTGGGGGAAAAGGCAGGAGCAACTGCACATTCATCTGACAGTAGTCCAAACGTGGAATTTCTCTAGGAAACAAAACTCCATAACCGGCAACAGATTTGTGTTGTTTTGCTTCCTATCAGTGGTTGTACAAAGTGGCAGAATTCTACCCATTTATATAAGCTGATATGCTGCAGAAGTCAGTCAGGTATCATTTTCCTGCTGTTTCCAGGGAAAAACACGTCCAGTCACCACATTACCTGCTGCCGCATACTTTACACTGACGTGACGCTATATTATTTGCAGAGATTAGTACTGTGAACTGTAACAGTGCCAATAATGTGCATTCCGATTTCAAGTTAAGTAAGCTTTTTTTGTCATTCTCTGCACGAGACACAGGGTGCAACATACAAACAGCAAGTGACAAAGGGAGGGTTTCATAACACAAAGTGGAAAAGCACAGGACAGCATGAAAGGAGGGGGCTGAACCTAAGGGTTTATATACATAGTGCATTGGAAGTTGTGCATAAACAATAATAATAAGTGCAGCAGCATAAAGGATGGAATAAATAGTGTGACTGACACTAGATAAATAATAGTAATAATTTAGTGATTTCCCCGTGCTCACTTTTCACAGATGGATGAATTTCAACTTAATCTGAATCTATTCCTTCGTCACATGGGGGTGGATAACACTGAGCACTGAGCTCAGCGAATCGCACGCAGGGTCCGATAGAGATCGCGTGCTCAGCCCGACTCGGCCCTGCCTTCCTGTGGGCTCGCGTGTACGAGACCAGCGAGAAAAGCGTGGGCAGAGGAGAGAAAAGGGAAAACTCACTGGATCGGCTAGGCATGCAAACTCACCTGCCCAACCTGTCAAAGACCGGGGAGTTGGGCTTGGTTACATTGTTGCAGAACAGGTCCAGCTGGAAGGCATGGGGGTAAGTTTCCCTAAAAAAAAAGACCCAGGGTAGCTTAAAAATAGTGACACTAAGTATAATTTAACCTCAGGCAAACAGCCAGAGACTTCAAATACCAAAAACAAAAAGTGAAAACAGTCCAAAATGGACACTCAGCCCAAAAGGTGCTGTCAGGTGCCTGACAAGGAGAGTGGCCAAATTCCCGAACTCCAGAGGCGTGTGATGGCAACAGAAAACTTCACTTACATGGTACACACCTTTGATTTCACATGAAATGCAGGCAAAATCATCTAAGCCTGTTTGGGGCATTACTTTGGGTTCTATTCTCAAGCACACGGAGGAGAAAACGGGACACACACACTATATGAATTCACCATAAGAAAATCAGACTTTTATGGTTAGTGGGCTGCAACAGATCTAAAACCTGAGATGCTCACCCAAACGCACGGCTGTCCGGGAGACTGCTGTGAGCTTTGATTCCAGGAGGAACCACCCGCACCTCTGTGATCAGCACCCCGCATGGGAAGCGAACAACGTCAACATTGGTGAGCTGGGGGAAGGGACACAAACACAAAGCCATCACGAGCGGTCATTTCCTGTAACTTTTCCAACAGGGGCACAATGTATTTTGCTTGACAACAGGGAACAATAGATACCTCCATGTTGGTCTGTGTTATACCATCCTATGGTGTCAGTCATTCTAAATGTCTTTCCTCTGTTCTTTAAGACTGGCCAGTAAGCCATCGAACATGACACTAATCAATCCATCCATTCACAGAAAATGAAAAATAAATATTTTTATTATAACATAAAGGGAAGCATTCTTGTTTTCAGGACCACAAGAGATAACATACAGGCATTGGACAAGTGAAACATTAAGTTTGCAGAGCAGGCAAAACCAGTTTTAATTGGTCTGTGGGCTCCCTTGGATTGAAGGCAGTGCTGACAGGACCGGGCTGGTTCCTAGTGCTGACGTGTGTCTTTAACAGTCACATGAAGCACCTCCTAGGATCCCACAGACAATTAAAAATAATAAACCAAGCTAAAATGTGAAATCATATTGTTCTGTATGGAAAATAACCGTTACATTTTATGAAGAAATCTCAAATGGAATAGTACCTTTTTCATTCTTTTTAGCAGAGCTCATAGTGTCAATATGGAGGTTATCTACAAATACGGGACTAGGACAGCCACAGTACTAAAGATCTTATACACTTTGACAGATCGTGGTATGTTTGAGATTCTATGACGTGTAAAGATTCGTTCGATTCAAAAAGGTGGGACCACACTTGAAAGCATCCTTAACACTTAGCAGCTACTTTAAATAGATGTGAGGTTATTGTTTCGTATAACCTGGTATTTCAGAGGATTACATCAAGGTGGCAACACAGTGTGAGCTGTCCAAGTAATTTCACAACTTTTAACCGTGGGTGCGAGGCTGGCTCCTGGGAGGGCGGTATCACGTAGTGACGTTTTCCACTGGTGCATTTCAGATCGTACCGCGCCAGTCCACCTGTGCGTCTGGGCCTTATTTTTAAGATACTGCAAGTATCTATACAAGCGAGGGGAAAACATCAAGCAGTGAGACGGTTGTAACCGTCTTAATAAGAGCTAACGTGTCGCGTACTCCAACTGGGACTCATCTGTACACCATGCACCTTACGCTACACCATGCATAATGGTAAACACTCCAAGTGCTGCAGCTACAGGATCTGTGTAGTTAGCACGTTAGCTTTAGCCACTCAGTGCCCACCACGTCTGATGGCGGTGAACAAAACTTAAATCGCCCAAATGTCACAGACCATCGGTTTTAAAGCTCAAATAGATACAAATACGCTAGTAAATAAGACGCGGTCAAGCAGAACAGGTTCCCGACGAGGTACGTAGAGCATGGGGACTGCAGGAGGGAGCTTGGCATTCGTCACCCTAAACCGCCCCCAGCGCGGCGCCAACAGAGCGCCGTCAGAACAGCTTCACACCCGCCACCTAGAAGAAAGCAAATGCCACTGTTTCTGCAGTAAGCCGTTACCTCTGCGCTCTGGTGTTTAAAAGTATCCAAAAACAGAAGCTCCATTGAGGCGTCCCCCGCCATCTTCTTCCGATCGCGTTGAAAAAAACTTCCGCTGGGGGCGGGGAATCCGGCGCGAGACTTCCGGGCACCTGAGCTACGGCTGCGGACGGCGGGCTGCTACTATCAGCGCTGCGTCCCTAGTGTTACGGCGAATCAGCACTTAAAGCAAACATAGTTGCGAAATAATGTCCGGGTGCTACATCTACCTGCAAAACTCAAAATGACAATTTTTACACTCTCCATGATATTGATATGCATTGTCATGTATGTTTTGGGTGTAAGATTAAGGTCATTAACGCCTAAAATAATATATCACACAGCTGTATGTGATGTTTTTTGTTTTGTTTTACTGGAACTGTACATCCGGAATGTCAAGTACACTGTATCCTCAAACTGTCATACTCAAGCGACACGATACTAAACGTTTTCATCACTGATACTCGATCTCAATGCAGCATCAAATACACTAGTACAGGTATTTCTGATATTAAAAATGGTATGCAATTCTAGCCTAGGTGGGCGATGCGCATGAAAATGAAACACGTAACAGGTCTACTGCGCAACAAAGAAGCATCAGGTACTCGCACTGATTCTATCCGGTTTTGGTTGTTTTACTGGTGCACAGGTACACGCCGTTCTCTGACTCATTGCAACAAAATTGGCTTCACAAATGGTAACACTTTAGTTAGGAAGCAGCAGTGGCTCCGGTCCTGTTGCAATGCCACGTCCCCGTTTAAAAGCACCAATGGCGCGGGACCCAGAACAGGGCAGGTATCTGTTACCTGAGTCACGTGGGTGGCGGACAGGTAGATGCACAAAAAAAGGGCCGTTCAGCCATTACGAGGCAGGGAGGGGGTGCTACCTGTTTTGCATAGATTCTCACGCAATCAAAAAAGCCACTAAATACTTGTAGCCGGAGAAACACACCTAGCTTTGGCCATAGGTGTCTGTAGGTGGTGGTGGTGGTTGCTGGTTTCCTTTGGTTCGGTGATTTTTTTTTTTTGTGGGGGGTGTTTTTTTCCTTTCTTTTATTTAGTTAAATTTAGCTTAGTTTTCTTTTCCTATCCTAACCATGACGGCGAATGTTGATTATTTGGTGGCGTTATTTTGTACAACATCTGGTACCAGTGGGAATCAGTTGGGATCGGACGAAAAGGAGATCATTCAGCTGGTCTGGCAAGTTGTGGACTTGGCGAACAAGAAGGTATTATTTAAAAAAAATACGTCTTCCTTTGTTCTAAGTATGTAAACCAAGCCTTTTTAGGGCCGGGAAATTGTTCTCAAAAACACGTTTTCTTATATCCCGGTGTATTATTTTTACTTTCATTATATTTCCAAATGTAATTATGAGATAATATCGGGTAATATACGGGATACGATCTGTCATTTGTTAAAATATTTGTGATGCAGTTCCCTCTACCACAATTTACTGCTTTGCTCACGCAAAGGGCCACATTATAGTCTCTTCAAGCTGCCAGTTTTGTCTGGAGATGGAAGCTCATAGAAATTGCATTTCGCGCAGACCGGGCCAGTTAATGAAGTTTTCGTGAAGCCGAAACACTTGGAGCTGACCGAGGAATGTAAAGAACAAAGTGGGATAGCGGAGGAAACGATCTCTGCGGCAGAGCCTCTGGAGCACGCCTTAAACCAGGTGAAGATGGCAAATTCAGAAATTAAATTAGTTCGATATATTACTCATTCCATGTCATGATATCACAGGAGCAAGATTAAGCCAATATGTGCCTTCTTTGAGTGTAACGATTAATTTGTTTACTCGCAATAAAAGGGTGTTGCGCGTTATAGTGAAAATCTCTTGTCAATATATTGTGTAATTATAAAAACTGGTGTTTTTTTTTAAATAACAAAAAACATTTACCAATATTAGTCAGTGTTTTAACGGTGATCTTTCTGGGGAATAAGAAATTAATCATATTAAAGAGACACTTCAAAATGATGCAACTGTAACTGTCACTATGTGATAAATGTCCAAAAAAAGGCATTTCTCATGCAATTATTGTACATATTTTCTATTGAGTGAAATAGGCTAAGGTTTGGAGGTCACCTTTTTGTAATTTAGTGTATGTCGGAGTTGGCTGTAACGTGTATCTTGCCTTGCCACATTTATGCTTTGCCTTTCATGGATGCTGTGTTGCTCAGTTAAATTCTAAATAGTGTTTTAGCATTGGTATTCTTTTTTTAAAAGAGTGAGAGTTGGATTAGTTCAATTGAAGGTTTTTTTTTCATGTAATTGACAGTTTATCCAGCAACTGAGTAATGGAATCAGTTTTGGGACTGGAACCTCGTTCTGTTTATGTACCGATGGTCAGCTTCACGTCCGTCAAGTCATCCATCCTGAGGCCTCCAGCAAGGTAAAAGTCAGGGGACATTTGCTCTATTTTCACACACTATGGGGCTGGTAGCTCCAGTCGGAACCACTTTCTCTGTAATTCACTGACACGTTGTCTACAGGCAGAAAAACTTTTGTTTTTTTCTATTGGCCAAAAAATTATTGCGCTTAAAAAAAAAAAAAAAAGAAGGAAAAAATTCAGATCGGTCTTTGAATCGTTTGAGTGCAGAACTCTTCATTTTGATTGTATCACCATAATCTTATTTGCCGTAAGTGAAATATTGGTTTACTGCTCGACTGTTTAATAATAAAAAAAGTGACAACAGGAAGTCTTGGAGATAGTGTTTTATTCTTTTGGGGTGCGGTGCTGTTCATTCTCCTGAACGCTTTCCCTGTCATAGACTCCTAAATCATAAATATTTCACACGGTTATGCTAATGGACATATTCTTGCAGAACATCATGCTTCCGGAATGTTTCTACTCATTTTTCGACTTGCGAAAGGACTTCAAGAAAAGCTTCCCAGAGTCGGCAGATCTGAAGGACTTAGACGTTCAGAGCATGGCAGAGTGTATCCTTTTTCCTCAGTAATCGGGGTTTTGGGAGAAGTTCTTTAGCCGTCCTTCGATGATCTATGGCTCAGCGTCTGTATGCTCAGTTTCCTGAGTGTGCTGTTCTCGAGATGGAAGACTTGTTGACTGGTTGGTGCATTTGAACTCCTTTAGCCTGTTGAGCCTCTGCTCTTTTCTGTGAAGCCAGAAACGCAGAGGGTGTTGCCCTGTGGAACGTGTGTGTGTGTGTGTGTGTGTGTGTGTGTGTGTGTGTGTGTGTGTGTGTGTGGGGGGGGGGGGGGGGGGGGGGGGTTGAAATGCAAATGTAAAAACAATACAGACAGGTCATTTGCCTCCTGAAAGAAAGGACAGTGTTTAGCCAACAAAACAGTCCTGCAGACCCACCCAAAAGCTTTTAGCTTTCAGGACATAAGACAATGGGAAGAAAGAGACCAACATTGTGTCTGTGTACGTGTGTCTATATTAGTTATAAGTAATAGTATGTAATTATGATTCACATAACAAGACAGTGGGCATAATGGACCAGGGAAGTGGACTGTCGGTTTAACGTGTTAAAGACGGATATCTGGGGGGGGGGCACTAACCTGAATAGCCTAACAGAGGCAATAAAAACTGAACAAACAGACGACACAAAATATTGAAAAATTTAGATGAGAGAATTGCGAAAGCCGTTGAAGTCAGACACATTTTGATGTGATTTTCTCTTAGAACAGTAATATGTTTCATAAGTGGGGGTGGCAGAATTTGTGGTAACGCTACACTTGAGCGGGTACAAATAATCTAGTACCCTTTTACTTAATGTGTTAATTTAATTTAATAAAAATTAAAGTTAAAAAAATTAATTTTATATACACACAGAGGCGCATACACACACACAAACGCATATATATCATTTGTTTTGATCCCTCCATTCTCCTTAACCACTACTCTTTGCCAGATCTGAACATAAAGCCAGATGTTTCAGTCTATGGATATGGCTCCAAAAAGGTCCAGACCATGAGCGACATAATCCTGGCACTCATTTCAGACCCCCTGTGTGAGTAAATAAATGTTCAATCAAATCCTTCCCTGAATAGCAAATATTCTCATTAGCTAACTTTACTGTTTTTTGTGCGTTTATGTATTTTTTTTATTATTTTTCTTTCAGGTTACAAATTCTCCCTCCCGGAAGGAGTAAATGAAAAATTTGAGACCGGCACCTGGTAAGAGGTCCCATCCATCGACTTGTCACTCAGCTGGAAAGTAACACAGCACACATTCACGTTTCTCCTCCTTCCGCACAGCAGCAAGATGGAGCGGGTGGACGACAACACGGTGATCCGCGCGCGTGGCCTCCCCTGGCAGTCGTCCGACCAGGACATCGCCCGTTTCTTCAGGGGCCTCAGCATTGCCAAGTCAGTCCCGTCACCCGGTGTCCTTCCACGCCTTTGCCTGCATGTACAAATACAGAACATGCTGTAGGCCTTAAAGCTGCCGCTTTACTAACCCAGAGGTTATGGGTTCGAGTCCCAGGAATTGCCCTGCTATCGTATCATTGGCTGAAGTAGTCTTAAGTGACGCGAGCTGGACTCTCTGCTGCATGTTTTCCGGCTGATGCCGTGGGCTGATGCCGTGGGCTGATGCCGTGGGCTGATGCCGGCTCCCCTTTGCTCTTCTAGAGGGGGGGTGGCGCTTTGCCTGAACGCCCAGGGTCGCAGGAACGGGGAGGCGCTGGTGCGCTTCGTCAGCGAGGAGCACCGAGATCTGGCACTCCGGAGGCACAAGCACCACATGGGCAACCGCTACATTGAGGTCTGTGTGCCCCCCCCCCGCCCCCCCCGTTCCAGTGTTCATAGCAATGCTTTTCCAATTAGGACCAGACTCCTGTTTGGCTGCAGTTGGATTTAACGTGTCTTTTTTTCCCCTTCAGTCTGTGGCGTTCACTATTTTATTTCCTTATTGAACTTTGCCTGTAACAATGCTGTTCTCTCTCGTATCTTTCACATCCGAGTCATTTCTTAAATGGATGTTTTCTGCTATAGGTGTACAAGGCAACTGGTGAAGATTTCCTCAAAATAGCTGGTGGTAAGAATATCTATGCATTCTTTGTTTTATTTAGTTTATTATATACATTCCCACTTTAAACACGATTTCCAAACTTAATGGCTTCCTGCCCTTTACACACGACCTTCAGTAGTTTTAGCAGGAAAATGAGACGGTTCATATATTTCTTTGCGGCCACCCTGAAAGATGAGGGAAACCTCTCGTTCCCATGTGAGCCGATCTTCTGTTCGTCTTCCTCAGGTACCTCCAATGAGGTAGCCCAGTTCCTGTCCAGGGAGAACCAGGTGATAGTGCGCATGAGGGGGCTCCCCTTCACCGCCAGCGCTGAGGATGTGCTGCTCTTCTTCGCTCCCGCCTGCCCTGTCACAGGCGGGAAGGACGGCATCCTCTTCGTCAAGTACCCCGACGGGAGGCCCACGGGGGATGCCTTCGTGCTGTTCTCCTGCGAGGAGCACGCTCAGAACGCCCTCAAGAAGCACAAGGAGATCCTAGGGAAGCGATACATTGAGCTGTTCAAGAGCACCGTGGCCGAAGTGCAGCAGGTGAGGGTGTGGCGTGGGACGCAGAACGCGGGGGGGGGGTTTGCTTTTACGGGAGGTGACTTCTGTGCATATTTGTTTTTATTTCATGAAGCAGGATTTCTTGCTTAGCTGGATAACTTGCTGGATTTAAGGTAGTTCAGGCTAAATGTACGTGAACAAAGATAAAGGGCATTTAAACTGGGGTACCTTCAATTCAGCAAGCTATCCGGCTAAGTAATCCTACTTCATGAAACAGGCCCCAGGAGGCAGCAGCAAGACTAAAGGGGATTAGATTGACAGCGTAATTGAGTGCCGTTGCTTTCACTAACAGTTTGATGTGTTTTTATTTCCTGGAAGTCCGTTATACACGCCAGGCTCATAACCTCATTGGCTGGTTACGATAGCTGGCGTCTTGTTAAACCAAACTTGCTTTGGAACGTGTTTTTTAGAATCTCACTCTGGTCGCCAAACCCAGCGTCACAAAATTGCGTGATGGATATTTGACGCATTTTTGTATCTACTCTGTTCTTTGTTTATTGATATTAGCTGTATCTGTGGAATACTTGCAAACTGGTACAACAAAAATACCAGAGGAAATGGACCGTTTAGATTTTGTAACAATAGAGTTCTTCTTTCCTTACATCATGCCAAATACTAACGTAAATATCTGCTTTTTACCAGAACCCAAAGTTTTCACTCGTTAAGTGCTTTGAAAGCAAATGTCACATGGGAGGCTTGGCTGCTGGTGATTTGATTGGTTAACCCTGATGTTTTCTTTCCTTGAGGTCCGTATGGGAACTTTTTTTTTTTTTTTTTTTTTGCCTCTTGTGAGGATAGCAAACATTTCGGTGTCCTGTTGGCAGGAGTCCATGTCCCACGGGCTACGTTGGTCTGATGAATGATGTATTTCTGGGGCACGTTGTATCCTGAACCGCCAGCTGTTCACGGCGGATTATCCAGCCTTTGGCTGAGGGCGTGTATACAAGCCGCATCTCGGCGACGGATGCTGATTGGCTAGGGAGCTGGAGGTGGAGGCTACCTGTGTGCAGGTGTTTATCCCGCCCTGTGCCTTTGCAGGTGCTGAACAGGTACACGTCTGCGCCCCTGATCCCCATAGCACCGGCCCCCATCATCCCCGTGGTGCCCCAGCCACCCTTCGCTCCCCCCCCTGGGGTACGGGACTGCGTCCGGCTCAGAGGCCTTCCCTACACGGCCACAATCGAGGACATTCTGGAGTTTCTGGGGGAGTTCACAGCTGACATTCGCCCCCACGGGGTTCACATGGTGCTCAACCAGCAGGTACGGACCTTTCCCAGTTCCAACCAGTGGATCCCGTCGATCCACTACACCAGCGGTTTCTAAAGGGTTCTGTGACCCCTCTGAGCAGTCGTCACCAGCACCTTCCCCAGAACCAAAACTATGAAAGGGGAACCCCCTCTAGAATCAAAAATATTTAAACAGCCCCCCCTCCAATCCTTAGCTCTTGGTTATTTATAAGCAGGGATTGACATAACTGGTACACAAGTATGCATTCTCCATATAAAGTGAAACGCACTGCAGTTTCTCATAATAATGCAAATGAGGAAATTCATTTGCAATATTAAGGTTAAAATGCACTGTAATTTCTTTCCATAACTGCACATACAGTTAGTATGCTTTGGCATTGCAGCGACAAGAAGTTGCAGCCCGTGACACTTTATATGTCCATCCCTGTCTATAAAACCGCTCATTATAGGGTGAGCACACTCCATCACTGGTCTGTTCGAGCTGAAGAAAGGTGCTCTACAACACAGGAGTCAAACTCAAGGCTCACGTGAACTTGTGAAAAATACCAATAAAGGATCTGATCTGGCCTGCAAGTTTTAGAATGTGGACATATTGATTTGAAACATCCTGCATTCATAATGGCGTAAAATCTGCTATTCTCAGTTATCCGCCCTGAGGCTGAAACTGCGGTGAAAGAATTTAATACATCAGACTCGCCATGCTGGAAAAATACAACAGCTTGCATGGGCAACTCCAAACAGACGAAATGCAGGGATTGCTTGCAGGAGCCCGTCTTTAGTCATAATCGGGAGACCGGTGACGCAGCTGAGAAACATAGCTAGATAAATACTAATGAGACGTCATGGAAACCAAAGTCTGGTGGTGAGTTTGCAAAAACAAGCAGGCTCACAGCGGCAGAGGTCGTGTGTCCCGACAAGCATCAGCTTTTCAAGAGACTGGTTTTCGGATCCGACCTAGTTGGCACCGGCAGGTGGATCAATGGCGATTAATCGCATAAATCGCATAGAATGGCAGATAAGTTAGTAAATCTGAGATCAGTTGAAAAGTTGTGCTTACCTGAAGTGTTTCTTTGTTACCAGGTATCCTTAATTTTGCATGTTAATCATGTTTTGATTGATAGTGCCAATCTTCCCAAATTGTTTGTGAGGTGACCCCCGCTCCCCCCAGTAAAAATATATTCAAGGGGTGCCCATTCCCCCCAGAGTTAGAATATGATGTAGATGTTTCACTAGCATAGCATAGGCTAACTTAGCATTGGGTTGGGTCTAACATGGCCTGTTGAATTGAACACCTTTGCTCTACACTAAGAAACAACTTGATGTACAGATAAGGTCAAAAAATGATCCCATATTTAATTTGGAGGTTGTATGCTTATTTTTGGGCTGTATATCTGACAGCTTGTTGCCATAAAGACTTGCATCATCTTCAACGCTGTTGAAGACGACCTCGTAAGGTGGTGTTAACGCTGTACTGGGATCAGGCAAGCGGAGCCAGACGCAGGGTCGCCGGTGGAGAGATGAAGGGCTGTTTCCGTGTCGCAGGGCCGTCCGTCTGGGGACGCCTTCATCCAGATGAAGTCGGCGGAGAGGGCCTTCCTGACGGCCCAGAGGTGCCACAAGAAGACGATGAAAGACCGATACGTGGAGGTGTTTCAGTGCTCGGCCGAGGAGATGAACATTGTGTTAATGGGGGGCACCTTGAACAGGAATGGCTTGTCCCCACCGCCATGTAAGTTACGACGTAAGTTCTGCTGGGGTCTTGGCGCTTCTCTAAGCTACGTGCTGGTAGGTGCTGGAGCTCCTTTGAAATTCTTTGTTTCTTTGGGTTCTTATTTTTTTGATTCAGAATATAACCTTGGTGGGAAAAGTCTCAACGGATCGGTAGGCCTCTGGGATGCGTGTATTTTTTTTTTTGTTTGTTTGTTTTTTCTCGGTGGTTGCTGTAAATCTGGGTTACTCTGCTTTCAAAAACCTACAGATTCCCTTGGAACTGCAGTTGGCAAGTTTTCAAAAATGGTTAAAACTCTATTAAATGTAATAATGACTGGAAAGTCATCATTACATCAAATGTATTGTGCATAAGAAAGTGGGGGGCTTTTGACAGTCCAGCCTGGCCGAAAGCACAGTCAAAGATTGACTTTCGGCTGGTTTATTTAGCAAAATTTATTTTAACGGCACTTCAATTTATTTTGGGGAAATAATCAGATTGCTCACCTTCTCAGTCACAACTGTGGGGAAACTCAGTTGTGGAATACTAATGACTTTTTCAAAAAACGTTAAAATCATTACTGGCAAAATGTACGAACAGGTCCAGGCTGCTTTTAGGCCTTTTTCGGAAGGGTGAGTGTGAATCTGATGGGTGTAATAGCTGAATCATGGTGTCACTGGTCTTGTGCCTGCAGGGTATGGAGGCGGGGTCTCTGGCGAGTCGTGGTGAGGGCGGGGTCTGACTTGGGTTCTTAAGATGGGCCCGGGGGAGGGGAGGAGTGGCAGAGAGGACGGGTGGGAATTAGGGCATGTGGAAAGGTGGCGTGTTTCTGCGCTTTGAGTGGGAAGATGTGCCTCGGGGTAATCACCAGGAACAGGTCCTGCAGGAATCTCACACTTGCTTTTTTTGTTTGTTTTTAAGCCCCTGCCCTAAAATGGCCGCTCATTATGCATCCCCTGCTCCCCCGCATGAGAGCTGCTCAGCCTGCGGTCTGCTCGCCGATGCGACTCGTGGCTTTTACTCCAAATTGAAAATTGGATAATAATTAGATTCATTAAAAACCGGCCCAGAATTCTGCCCAAAAATCAGGACCTCATCAAAATTTTTTAAGTGACTGTATATGACTTTTCAGATTTCCCAGGCTTGCAGATTCCTGCCATATCTGTTGGAGGCAAACTGTCTAAACGCAGAAAGAAAATAACAACGGCAAGGTTGTATCTGTCTTAGAAAGTGTTCTTTAACCTTCGACCCCCCTCAACTCCTTCTCTCCTCAGGCCTCTCCCCCCCCTCCTACACCTTCCCCCCCCCCACGGCCATCCTGCCCCCGGAGGCAGCCACTCTGTACCAGCCCCAGGTCCTGCTCGCCCCTCGGCCGGTCCAGCCCTCTCCTGCCTTCTACCCTGCCTCCACCCAGCTCTTCATGAACTACACCGCCTACTACCCCAGGTGGGCCTGCTACTTGCTGCCTGACCGTTAAACGCCTTTTCGTCGCGGTGACCTTCTTTCCCTCGTCGTGCCATCGGCCTTTCACACGACTTCCTGTTTTTACTCTGCTTCATTCACCCTGCTAAAAGGTACGACAGCGGTGCCTTTTTGGGATTTAATTCCGGAACTCCGTGCGCCTTGACTCCGCCCCATTGACCACTGTGCTGCCCACTGCGTCGGTTTGCTCTGTGTCGGCGCAGTTCCCCTCAGAGGTGCCAGGGGTGTGTGGGCCTTCACGCAGACGTATCCTCCCAGCTTTGCCCTCTCCTGGCCTGCCGTGTTTCCCGCAGTGTGTCACAGTGACGGAGGGATACTGAAACTGGCTGAAATCTTCCATTTACAACATTTAGGGCTGAGAGTAAAACAGGAGTAAGTTTAAAAGTAAAAAAACCCAATTCCAAATCAGAGGAGAAACTGATCCTTTAAGACTTTTTTTGTTTTCATTCCTATCATGTCTCATTAGTATTAATCATTCACGGATTGATATAACAGCCCAGTGATTGTGGAGTACAGCGTTTCCTGATAGAGATCTGCTCCCGGTAAGGCAGCAGTGATTGGATGAGCAGGAGGGGAAGGCGGGCTCAGGTGGACAGTCCACCAATCACCATGAGCCAGTGGCTCGCGTAAGAGGTGATCCCGCTGTAAGGTTTATGGCAGGACGTACAGGAAGGGTAGTTAATGACTGAGCTGCCCTGCCGTTTATACAGTGACTGACTGTAAACGAGAAATGTCAGTCCCCAAAAATGGGAACACGTTGAAGGTCAGTCGGTCGCTGGTTAAACGGGAGCGTACGCTGCTCACGCTGCTGGCCACACAAGCCCAGTCTTTGCTTTGGGAATATCCGGGTTGGAATCCCACGGCTCTTCCCGTCCCATCCTAAGCACGGCCCTCTGCGTGCACACTGGCACTGCACACTGGCACTGCACACTGGCACTGCACACTGGCACAGCTCACTGGCACAGCTCACTGGACGCACAGATGTCCTTCAGGAAATAAAAATAAGTCATGCAAATAGAGATATCGTACGTGTCTGGGCCGTTCCGTTTAGGAATGAGCTACATAGCTTCATGCCTGTAGTGTCCCCTTAAAGCCATTGGTGACAAAAACCCTCTTTTAAATATTAAAAATTGCCAGAACTTTTTACGTGCATTTATTTATGTACAGCCATATGCATCTGTACAGACATCACATCCCCCTTCTTTGTGGTTATTGTGTATCTTACTCCCCCTCCCCCCCCCCCACTCTTTCTTTTTCTTTAACCCACCTGCAGCCCCCCAGGCTCTCCAACCAGCCTGAACTATTTCCCCTCCCCCAGCAGTGCCCCCGCCCTGGCGGCCCAGCCCGGGGCCCTGGTGAGGATGCAGAGTCTTGCCTACAACAGCGGCGTTAAAGAAATCCTCAACATCGTCCAGGGCTACCAGGTTTGTGCCGACCGGCCACCTTATAACTCGTACCTGGGCCCAAGCTCTCTGTTCTGAAGCTTTATCTCGCCAGGCAGTTGGTCACTTTAATGCCTCTTTGGTGGGAGCACTGGTCCTGCTGGGGTAATTCCTTTGTGCAGAGCAGGTGTGTCTCCGGTTCCTGCTCTTTGTTTCCTGGTACATACTGTCCAGTGGTTATTTGTTCTGGTTCTGTGCACATGCTGTTTATGTGCCGATGTGACGGTTTTAGGAGCTGACACGCATCAATACAGTGATGCTGATTGTAAAACTGAGTGGGTGGGGGGGAAAAAAGCAGGGTTCCCCCCCCAGGAGACGCCCTTATGCAAGTTTTTCTGGGTGTCACATAAGTTTCAGCTTGTATTGTGTAGCTGGGCTACAGTCGAGCTTTTTATCTGAGCAGCCGCTTGTGGAGAACCTGGTGGCAGACCGGCTGTAAAGGGGGGGGGGGGGGGTGTTTCACAATAATATACCAACTGTCAGAAGGAGATGAGCCCAGCAGGGTCACAGTGCCTCTTGTCATCGACGTCACCTGGGCTGCTGTGTCATTAGGAAACCCTCAGAACCCCCTCCCCCCCCAGTCCCTCCTCCTGGGATTTTTTTTCCCCTCTTTTTGTGTCATTTTCGTCTCCTGACCCTCCCCCACCTCCTCCTCCTGCTCCTGGCCGCCGTGTAGTCAGGCGCGGCCCGGCGTGTGCCGGCGTGCGTGGACACGCTCCCCTCTGCCTTTCGGGGGGGGGGGGGGGGTGATGTCGTAACCCTCGGTACCGCAGACGCCCCTATTGGTGCTGGCGCCAAAAGTCAGTTAAGACGGGACGGGTCGGGTCAGCGGACCGGGCGATCGGGAGACGAGGACTGCGGGGAGGAAATGGAGGCTGGCCAGGAAATTTCATTACTGTACCTGTGTTGAGGGCAGCATGGCACTGCAGACTTTATACCCCGAGAGCTGCGGGTTCGAATCCTCACACAGATTTTCCATTACCTCCTTGTGTTTACGTTGGATTCTTCTGGACAATCCAGTTTCCTTCCTTCAAAAAATATAGTTAGAGGAACAGCCTAGTGTCTCTCTATCATGCGCGTGTGTGTGCGTGTGTGTGTGTGTGTGTGTGTGTGTGTGTGTGTATGCGTGTGTGCGTGTTACTTGGGTTAGATTCCCTCAGCAAGGAATCAGTACATTCCTTTAATTTCTTATCTCTGTTTCCTCTGTTCTCCTACTAGTGCAGGTTTTTTTTGTTTGTTTTTTTGCTTTTACTTTTAAGCTGTAGAGTTGCTGTGACGACCAGACGATTTATTTAGTCCCAATATCTCTGTTCAAACTTACACTGTAGTATCCGTCCGAAGATGGATTCGTGCAGTCACATGACCAGGCGAGGACACTACTCACGCACCCCAAACAGTGGGTCTGTATTTAGAAGGGGAGGAGAGGAAGGTAAGGCTTTGCTACAGCCAGGCCTCAGACTGAAAGGGTGCCCCCCCCCCCCCCACCACGGTGTGGGTCCCTCCGCTGCTACTCAGGTTGTTTTTGGTGTCGGCAGCCTCGCACAAAGTGGCGACAGTGGCCCGTCGTTAGTCCTGTTCAGGTTTGCCGTGCCCCCTGGTTGGCCTTCACGTTTTCATTCGGAAAACGGAGAGAGATCTGAAGGCCGTGTTGCCGCAGTCATTGGGTTTCTGTGCCGAAATTCCAGATCTGCCGTGAAACGGAAGGAGACTCTTTTTGGGTAAAGGCACAAGGGAAGCTTTGGCTGCCATGAACAGGTGTGGCGTCGGCCACTGGGTGGCGCTGTAGCTGGGTGTGGGCGTGGCGGCCGTGGACCACACGCAGGTGACGGGTAGAGGTGAAGCGCGAGGCTCGTTCTGTGGTGCTGGGAGAAAATTGGTGCGATCATCCAGCTTCCAAATGCTAATTTCTGCTCACCGACCTCTCTCTCCCGCAGAATCCCCCAGAGGCCGTGACTCTGGTGGATAGCTTGTATGCACAGCCTGGCGGCAGCGAAGGCCTGGTCGCTCTCCCGGCGCTCCTGTCAACCAAGCAGCCTTTGCAAAACCGAACCCACGGCCATCTGGGGGGTCCCTTCCTGGACCTACAGCTGCTTTAATCGGGCTGCTGACAAATGCCGCCCATTAGGGGGCGACAACATTCACTTGCAAAGCTGAAAACGGCCCCTATTCTCAACATACACACTGGAGCATCTAAAACAGGGACATAATTCTATTTTCTAACTAGGAAGTAGTATGTTTTTTTTTTATCCTGTTGAAAATAATGCCTTCCTTATGTATGCGAAACGTATCAATTTATTTATATATATAGTAGAGATTTATGTATTTTTTACCAGTATAAATGTGGCTTTTGCCCAATAGTAGCTTTTGTTTTTAATTGCACACCTTTTTTCAAGCATTAGTGAAAACGTTAATAAGCATTGTGTAGTGCGTGAGATTGTATGCTTGCCTTATGTGTGTATGAACCTGCGTATGAATGTTTGCCTTAGTTTTATGATTCTTTTACTTGGTTCTTGCATCATGTGTGTCCCTGTGTCTTTCGTCAGCGACTCGGCAGAGGGTGTGGTGATGCTCTGTTAAGGCAGGCCTTCTGTGGGGTTAGGGTGGGGGGACCTTTGTACAGGGCTTATGTGACGCTGAGGATGTGGGATCTTGACCCGCATCCCACTGAGGTTCTCATGATTGTGCTGATGGAGGCCATCATACTTGACCTGTGCTTTTTATTTTCCAATCATTGCCTTATTCCACACGCACACACACTGTGTAAATGGCTCAGGAACATAGCCAGCTGTGTTTTTATGCTTGTAGGTTGACTGTATTCACACTTAAATTTACTCGTGTGTATATTCTGTTGTCATAATTATACGCACGTTTTCTTTTTTTATTTATTTTAAAATTTTTGTGACATGGTACTTGCCAATGCATCAGCCCCTTGTTGTGCCTGCCAGCATCACCTGATGGGTGCAAATGACACGAACTGACGCAGCTTGGTGTGTGCGTGCAGGGGGAGGGGGGAGGGGGCATGATCACGCACGCATGTTGCTAGTGGCGATGGGGTGCCAACCACTCAACACTCCGGCAGTGTGAATTCCGACAGCGGCGGCCACACTGCACCAAGAAAACAAGATGTTTACACGTTCTGCTGTGACGCAAAGCACTGCAGGTTTGGAAAAGATAGTGTGGAATATACTCACTGTCTGGATACAGGTCCTTTTTTCATGCCTGCACTTTTTCGCCAAAATAAAGATAAAGCACTGTATATGAAACTAAGAACAAAGGAGGTCGTAGATCGCAGCGTCTATATGAAGTGCAAACTACTGTTTTTAATTTTTTTTGGTTACTTTTTTTTTTCCCTCTTTGCCTTGGACTTCCATGTGGAGGCTGTGAATTTATCAAAGAGCTGTACAACTCTGTTTTTGTTGCTACACTGTGGAAAGGAGAATAAGATCGACTTAACACTATGTTCAATATTCAGGTTCAGAGTAGGATTTTTTTATATATGCATATATACACCCTTTAAACATTGTGAAGTACATATTATGATGTGCATGTTTAAATTTTTTTATATTGTACTTCCTTACAAGAAAATAGGAATGTATTGTGTATAATCAGTTAGCATGATGTACATAAATATTGTGGTCAGTTCATTTGATCACAGCGTACTGCTGAAATAGAGCAAGTTTTACTGTGTAGAAATTGTGTTATCCATTAAGCGACGTATTTTGTCGTTAAGTTTGTTGTTTAGCTGTAACTTCTCTAAGTCGGGGTGCAAAAGGCAGAAATATGTAAAATGTTCTCGCCCAACCCTCTTAGACCTGACTGTATGTATTGGATCGAATGCTTAAATTAACCCTTTGAATGCAGAATGTGTGATTCCACAACACAATAAAGACCTGTGCAGGCCATGTGTAATGTTGTGAGGTGTCATGGTTATTTATTTAGTCTTTTTAAGAGAAATTCTACAGTTTATTGTTAAGCTGTGTGCATGTAGTCTGCATGTTTTCCCTGTATCTTCAGGTTTTCTCTGCATAATTCAGTTTCCTGCCACACTCCAAACACATGTATTTATGGTAATACAGTCGCCCCTCCTGTATCGTGACATTCCCCGTCACTGTTTCGATATATTGCGGTGTTGGCTTTAGACACGAAATAGTAAAGCCGCAGATCAGGTAACTCAAAAGTGCATGAAATACACGTATGAACAGCGTCGTGTTCACAGCAGCCTCAAACGTGATATCGTGTAGTGTTCACGGCAGCCTCAAACGTGATATCGTGTAGTGTTCAGGGCAGCCTCAAACGTGATATCGTGTAGTGTTCACGGCAGCCTCAAACGTGATATCGTGTAGTGTTCACGGCAGCCTCAAACGTGATATCTCGCAGTGATCTTTGTATCCTGCCTTTCTGGAATCTTTTTGCTTCACTCCACTCGTTTCGCTCGCCAAAGGGACCAAAAGTTTTGTGAAGACCCCCCACGATGCGTGTCGACTGTACCTGTCTGGAAATTGCCCATAGTCTTGACTGAGTGCTCTGCGATCGACTCCCATCCCATCCAGGGTGGTCCTTGGCCTAAAGTATATGCCGTGTAATGGACTGGTATCACATCAGGGTGTCTCCTGTTTTGTTTCTTGGATAGGTTCAGGCTTACTGTAACCCTGCTGGGACTTAAAAAGTTAGCTGATTGGATGTGCAATGAAATGACTCTCCTTTTCCTGGGGGTGATTCCGATATAAATAAAAATAAAAATATAAAATAAATAAAAGCCTGCTGTTCAGGTTTCTGACATGATTGTAAATGATTTGAAAAGATGGTCATTCGATTCAATTAATTTTTATATAGCGCCTTTTACCGAGTCACCCCAAGGCTCTTTACATGGGCGTGTGGTAAAACATCACTACATCACTTACACAGAATGATACACGAAACAGGGAAAAAGAGGAGACAAAGACTGAAAGAAAGAAAGTCAAATGACAACAAAGGAGAGGAAACAAAACTTTCCCAAGAAGAGAAAAAAAAATTCTGGGGCTCCAACATCCAAGCATAGTAACATCAATACAAAGAATGGACCTTGTTAAAAGCGGGGTGTGGAGCGTGGTCACGGTCACAGTCAAAGTCCATCCGTGTGTCGGCAGGTTGAAGGCCACACCCACAGTGACACTTCCATGGGACTGAACCAGCTTATGGCACCATCCAGACATGTGGGAAGGAAGGCAGAGACCATGGTGGTCAGAATAGTTACATTGATGAAGAAGCACAGTAGATCAAATGGGCATGAACAGCAGCTCCAGCAGCCACAGCTACAGTGTGCTGTGTGTTACGGTGCAGGTCAGCTAAACTGAATTCATAGGTCTTCAGTCAAGACTGAGACTGATTTCACAAGCAGCACATGAGCTGGCAGACTGTTCTACAGTATAGGGGTCCTGTAGCACAAGGCTTCACAGCCAACTGTCAATTTATTTATATCTGGGATGACAAGGAAGCCTGCATTCTGTGATCTGAGTGCAAACACAGCCTGTAAACATGAATCAGTCCTGTGATAGACCTTTGAGTCATTAGCAACCTGCACAGGGATGAATCGTAATCCATTGCCGCTTATCCAGTTCGAGGAAAGGGACATGCCAGTCTATTACAGAGCACATAATTACCCACCATTTGCAAATTAGAAGACTGAATGCTTTCAGACTATGAGCAAATATCTGCCTGTTCGTGGGTTGAACAGACTCCACACACATATAGCTGGGGAGGGGGGGACGCCAGCCCCCAAAATCCAGGCAGTACGAGGCCACAGCATGTCCTAAAATGAATGTATTTGTGAGCATGTATAAATAATATGAAGCAGAAGCAGTGAGTCATCGTGAAAAAAAATGAGGTGAGATTTTGTTGGAAGTGTGTGTACAAACTTGTATGTTGAAATAAGGAAAGGGCAGGTTCGAGCTCCTGTTCACAGAACAGCTAGCTGAGTGTTTGCCGTAAGAAGCCCTTCTAGTTGGAGCCTACAGTTTCCTGGTAAACATGACAGAAAGGGAGTAAGGAGAGAAGAGCAGCGACACAAAGAGAAGATCACACACAGCCAAGCAGTACCGGATTCACTCCTCGGAGGCTTGGCTGCACACAAGTCAGCAGTGGCCCTCCGTTCACCTTCCCTTTCACACACTCTCCTACCTCCTTTTATGTCAACTGCTAAGGTTGCAGCTGCACACTATACCCATCATTGGCTGAGCTATGGTGCTCAGTACGTGAACTTCGGGAAGTTAAATTGCCGTATTGACTCTGAAACCTTTGTTAGAACGGAATGCCATTATTGTTATTGGACAGGTAGCCAGTACAACGAAATTCAGTCTTGGCATATCCCACTTTGCTGTCCTGAGATACACACACAGCCCAGGGTAACACAGGGTTATGAAAGTTCACTGCATCCATTTCTTCTCTGCATTACAAAGCATTAAAACAATGCGTTCCGGTGCAACTTAAGACGCTTGACAGGATTTTAGACAACGCCTGACTTAGTCGGACAAAATATTTGCCAAAAAAACACAACAATAAGGACCAGAAACAATACAAAATGTAACTTTAAAGCTGCTTCGAGACCGCGCGCAAAGTGGACGTACGGAGGTAAATCTGGTTATGATGGCAGAGATAATGGCGCCCTTCATATTTCCAGGTCACGTTTCTTTTCCCCCAAGTCTCTGAGCTGGAGCCCACTTTTGTTTTGTAAACGCGTGTTCCTTATGAGTCATTAAGACAAGCTAGGAACTGTTTGCTTTAAGCAGTGAATCAATATTTGCGTAGGCTGCCAAACCGACTATGTTTTATTGTAAGGAGTGCCTAGTTTTCGAAATGCCTGAAAGGTAATCGGAGAAAGACGTAATGGCGTTTGTGAAGTCCTCGCAAACTTTAATGTTCTATTTTTTCTGTAGCTTGACTTTAAATACGAAATACGGTTACATCTTTGAAATGCATTCAGATATTAGATTGTAATTGACAAGCATGTTTTTTTTTTTTTGAGCGAACCTCATGTTAATACTGTAGCGCGCTTGGGATTACCCCACCGGTCAGGTTTAGAGTTGGCGGATAGATGGAAGACACCCAGCGACATCTAGCGGACAGTTTCGGGTGGTTTCGTTTAGATTCGAAGCATGTGATTTTTCTGGTCATGTGATTCTGTCATGTGATTAGCAGAGACCGGAAGCGAGGAAGTCGGTATGTCAGTTGTGTGCTAGCTATCTCAAATGATTATATTCAGTTTCTCATACTGTTTAAAGACTGTTTGGACAGACACACTTTTTTGTCTGTCTTTATATGTCTTGTGCGTCAGAGTTGGCGTTTTAAATGGCTTGTATGATCTTGCAGTTATAAAGATGCGAGCTCATTTTCCTGCTAATGCACGCAGTTGTCAGGGTATTATTTGAGTAAATTTACAAATATCTTTGAATAAGTGCGTTTTTCCTACACTTATAAAGATTACCATTGCTTTCTGTACCATAATAATCTAAGAAGTAATTAAATTTTGACCAATTTTCGTGGTCATAACCCTTAAAAATACACTTAATAGTTAATAGTTTAAATTGGTTATACCTGAGAACGGAATTTGTTTTTCATTTGTTTCATAAATCTTATCTGTCATGGCGTATATATAAATGTCCTTCTTTCTCCAGTAATGGGAACGTAACGGTTTGTCATGTACAGTCAGGGGTAAATGTTCTCTCTTGTTAGAGCCTGTCTGATCAGTGCATGAATACCTAGAGGATAAGTGGGTGTGAAATTAAAAATAATAATAATAGTCATACAGTTGTAAGATATCCAAATCACCTTGGGTAAAGGCTTTTCTAAGAGAAAGATAACTACTCTTAAACATGCGTGTCAGGTCTGATTTACTTCATACTTGTGCAGCACAGAAATTCACTGTCCTAATGATCGTAGGAAATGACAGTACATTAATATTCAGCATACATTTTGTGGTAAAAATGGAACCCATGTCTGATTTCCTTTTTGGTACCATCAGGCACGGACCTCACGACGGATGACGTGCTTGACAGCTCACTTTGGCGATCGTCTGAGTCGGTGAGGCGCCCCTCCCTGCGCTCGTGACCGGCAGGGTCATCCGGACCCCGGTGCTGCTTGCAGCCATGGTGGACTTCCTCGCAGAGAACAACTCGTGCGGACAGGCGATCCTCCTGATCGTTTCCCGGGGAAATGCCATCATAGCGGAGCTCCTTCGTCTGTCCGAGTTCATCCCCGCCGTTTTCCACCTCAGAGACAAGAGCGACCAGCATAAGTACGGCGACATCATCTGCGACTTCAGCTATTTTAAGGTGCCTCCTGCTGCCTTCTCCCTCAGTCAGTATCATACCTTCTAAAAAAAGTGGTCATCCTCCCATTAAATGGTCATGCCTTGTACTTTTCTTTTTTTTCCTCAAAGGGCCCAGAATATTATGAAAACAAACTAGAGGCTAAAGCTGAGCTTCAGGACATAGATGAAGAATTCAGGGAGAACAACATCGAAATACTGTCACGTTTTTACCTGGCATTCGAAAGCGTCCACAAGTACATTGTGGATCTGATACGGTAATTGATCTTCTTAAACCCCAAAATCCCTTTTGGTGTATGATTATGTGTAACAGAAGTTTTCAAGCTGATGTAGCAGATCATGTGTGGTGTAGCAGATCCATATTGCCAGTTAAACCAACTCGCTGTCTTTCCAAAAGTGATGCCTAGCAACACACAAGAAGGAGCAGCAATGTATTTGTTTTTCAAGCAGATTTTTGTTAAATATGCCTGAAACATGTTGGGGGGTTGGATGTAATAATTAGGTGGGTAATAAACCTGGTTTAATATTTCAGAGATTTCCAGCTCGCTCTACAGCTGTTAATAAAACGATTTAGTCATTGTAATCAGAAAAACTTAAAACCACTCATCATGTTTGTGTTTTATACATACGAATTTGAAAATATTGTGACAAATATCGATATTGTGAAAATTTCTGAAAATATCGTGATATCATTTTTAGGGCATATCGTCCAGCCATACATTCCCTGGAATGAGCATCTGGCAGTCAGAGAAAAAATCTAGCAACAAAATGTACTGTTGGAATTTTCTAGTGTTATGCCCTAGGACAAAAAAGTTTATTTTTGTATGATTTGTCTATTTAAATTATTTTTCAGTTTGCAGTCCACTCAATTTGTGGCCTTTTTCATGCTATGAATCTATTCCAAGGGCATTTTTAGCAAATATGGAGCATTGGTGTAAAGAAAAAAATAGCTGAATTATGTTGTGATCGTTTTCATTAATTGCTTAATATGGAGAAAAAATTATTACGATGAAATATTTTGCCATATCGGCTGATATCAAAATTGTTTTACGTACTGTCTGTTGGTCATTAGACATTGTAGCAGTAATCTCACCTTCGATATGATTAGGAATCGATCTTTTCTGGGTATTTCCCGTACACCAGTCCCATGTACATGACCAGCCAGGAAATACTTGTAAGCTTCTAAAGTTTTAAAAGCTTTAAACAGCTCACACGTGTATCGAGATGTGGTGTGAGCTAGATCACCCAATGTCATAATACTTTGGATCGGGGACTCAGAATTAAGTATGGATCGTTTACACCAGCTTTGTTGAGTTTCTGTTGATATCTGGTCTTACTTGAGATTTCTAAGTTATCGAAAAGACCAGATGAAGGAAGATCAGCATCAACCGCGTGTGTATCACTATAACAATCTGTCGTGTTTTGACCGACAAAATGGCGATGTAAATATTGGCATATGTAGGTCAGAATCCTACATAGGACTGGAGAGTGGGTAATCTTTGCAGAACTGTATATAAACACTGAAGGATGATTATGCAAAAACTAAGGGAGGAGCATATTGCACTTATTCTTTAGAGAAAGCCACCGTCTGGATTTAATCTTTCAGTGGAACCATTCATTACAGGTACCTGGATGATCTCAACGAAGGTGTTTACATCCAGCAAACCTTAGAGACCGTGTTACTGAACGAGGATGGGAAGCAGCTCTTGGTAAGACTCGCCCGCCGGGCCGTTTCTACCTGCTGCTCCTCCCACACACCACATCAGAGTGATGTGGAGCCCTTCAACATGCTCTCTTGCCATTTCCTGCAGTGCGAAGCCCTGTATTTGTATGGAGTCATGCTGCTGGTCATCGACCAGAAGATCGAAGGCGAAGTGAGGGAGCGAATGCTGGTGTCCTATTACAGATACAGGTCAGCCCTGCACCATGTCTTTGATGGGCATTTGTCAGATGTTCTGAGGACTTGTATGGGGCTGTAGGGTCGTGCCGAATCGCAGCTATTTATTCCTTTGTTGACGAGGCTATTCTGGCAGTAGCACAGCTTTCCCTGGTATGGGATACACTGGCAGTTGAATTCCGCTCAGAGTTGGCATGCTGACGGACACGCTCTGCGGGCTTGATTGGCAGTGCTGCTCGATCATCAGCGGACTCCAACCTGGACGACATCTGCAAGCTTCTGCGCAGCACGGGCTACTCCAGCCAGCCCGGAGCCAAGCGGCCAGCCAACTACCCCGAGAGCTACTTCCAGAGGGTCCCCGTCAACGCCACGTTTGTCAGCATGGTCATTGGCCGCTTGCGCTCTGATGACATCTATAACCAGGTGATACATATATTTCTAACATTTCCAAGCCATGCTGTAATTGTCAGCGATGTTGATCTACACTACTGGGCAAAGTAAATAATCCGAAGCTTACTGTTGTATAATTTGGGTTTGGACCATTTTTTTGATCAGGGGTGTAGGTGTTTGGCCGGTGCCACACCTGATTGGTTATCGCTTATGTCCCGCCCCCAGGTGTCTGCCTACCCACTGCCGGAGCACCGCAGCACTGCCCTGGCCAATCAGGCGGCCATGCTATACGTCTGCCTCTACTTCTATCCCGCCATCTTGCACACGCAGCAGGCCAAGATGCGGGAGATCGTGGACAAGTACTTCCCCGACAACTGGGTGAGTGGCTGCGGGGTCCATGTGCTGCGTGTAGAACAGGAGTGTGAGTATATGCAGCAGGCAGTGCATATATGTACCAAGGGTACTTGCGGCCAGGAGAGGGCGCTGTTGCTATAGGCGTGTTTAAACAGTGTGTGGTGTAAATGAGTAAAGTTTTGGCACTTTGCAAAAGGGGGGGGGGGGCGCTCTATTGACATCTGGTGTCCATCTTCAGGTCATCAGCATCTACATGGGCATTACTGTGAACTTGGTGGAGGCCTGGGAGCCATACAAAGCAGCCAAGACAGCCTTGAACTACACCCTGGACACAGCTAACGTACGGGAGCAGGTATGTGCCGGGGGAGGGGCTGTGAACACATGTTGACCCGGGTTGGGGGTTAGGCGTTGGGGTGCAGGGCTCAGGGAGTGCACAGTGCACCACCTGCCTTCTCCAGCATTCTGGGATGTGTTTGATCATCGTCCAGAAATGTGTTTTCCATTCTGAAGACTGTGCCTCAGGCTTTCTCGCTCTCCGGGGGTGCAGCACTGCAGTTTGAACGGATCGTTAAATTCGAGGCTTCAGGGCGGTGGGTCACAGACTGACAGAGCGTTCCTGTGCCCCCCCCCCCCCATTGCCGACGCAGGCCAGCCGCTATGCTACTAGTCTGGACAGCCTGCGGCCGCAGGTGCAGCAGCTGTTGAAGGAGGGCTTCCTGCGCGAGGAGATCGTCCTGGACAACATCCCCAAGCTGCTGAACTGCCTGCGCGACTGCAATGTGGCCATTCGCTGGCTGATGCTGCACACGGCCGAGTCAGGTGGGTGCCGGGACCCCACCCCACCCCGTCAGACCCCAAACCCCGGCCAACCATCTCCCCTCAGATACCGTTAATCATTTTAACATCCACCCCCCCCCCCGGCCTTCCTGGAACCAGTCTTCGTTTTTCATCCATCGCCAGAAGCTGACATGAGTTCCCGATACCTTTTGCCCTGTTCCCATGGAGATGAGCCCTCTGCTTTCCAGACTCTTCCACCACAGCTGCATATAGCTTTGCTTTACTCCTGGTTCTGGCTGGAGTTCTGGTCTAGGGCAGAATCCCAAGCATATTTGGTTGTTATCGGTCAGGACACTGTCAGTATGAAACATTATATCCAGCAGAATGTCGGCTGTAGGGTGTTTTCTGACTTCCTGCCCAACGTGTTTGTGTTCTGTCGCCCAGCTTATGACCCAAACAACAAGAGACTGCGGCAAATCAAAGACCAGGTGATCAACGACTCCAAGTACAACTCCAAGATCCTCTTCCAGTTGCTGCTGGACACGGCCCAGTTCGAGTTTATCCTGAAGGAGGTCGGTGTGTCCTCCCCCAGCCGCGTGGAGGCCTCTGCCGCGTGTTTTCTGTTCCGCTCCTAAACACGGCCTGCCCTGCTTCCTCTAGATGTTCAAACAGATGCTCGCTGAGAAGCAGGTCAAATGGGAGAGCTACAAGAAGGAGGGTTCGGAGAGAATGACCGAGCTGGCCGAGGTTTTCTCAGGAGTTAAGCCCCTCACCCGGGTGGAGAAGAATGGTGAGGACTTTGATGGGATGTGTCCAGACCTTTTTCCAGGCCCAGGGGAGACGTTCTGCTAAGCGCTTAAGGTTTATGTGGGAAAACACATCTCTGCCTCAATAGGTCGAGCTGCTAGCACAAGTGAGGAATCACTGAAATGCAGCCTTTGTGTTCAAAGCAACAAAGAGTGTAACCCCACCTCCTGGACGCCGCTTCTGGGAATTGTTTGGTAGTCTTACCTCTGTGCTTGCAGAGAACCTCCAGGCCTGGTTCAGGGAGATCTCCAAGCAGATCGAGTCCCTGAACTATGAGGACTCCACAGCTGCGGGGAGGAAGACCGTCCAGCTAATCCAGGCCCTAGTGGAGGTACTGTAGCCACCTCCTCGTTCATGCTATGCAATGAAATGACCCTTTATTTGGGATTTTAACAAGTACACGGCCTTGGAGCATTTCTCTGGGGTTAAGGACCTTGCTCAAGGGCCAACACCCTTGTTAGTTATGTGTTTAATGTTGTGTTTAAAATATTTTATTAGAGAAAAGTATATATTAGTGCAGCATTTCCCAGTCCGGTCCTCAAGGAGCCGGGGGAGGGTAACAATGTGGACCGTCTGTGGACCGAGGACCGGGTTGGGAAACACTCCATGTGTGTTCAATGTAGGGAAAAGCTCCTTTTTCATGTTCAAATTTCTTTCCAGGTACAAGAATTCCACCAACTGGAATCCAACCTGCAGGTATGCCAGTTCTTGGCAGACACCCGCAAGTTCCTGCACCAGATGATCCGCACCATCAACATCAAGGAGGAGGTCCTGATCACCATGCAGATCGTGGGCGACCTCTCCTACGCCTGGCAGCTGATCGACAGGTAAAGGCGTGCGGGGTCACGGGGTCGTTCCTGCGGCGTTAAGCCGCCGCCGGCGCGGCTGGTGGACGCCGTGAATCCATCATTCTTTTTTCACCCCTTTTGTCTTCAGCTTCACGTCCATCATGCAGGAGAGCATCAGAGCGAATCCCTCGATGGTGACAAAGCTCCGAGCGACATTCCTGAAGGTAACCTGCAACTTTGTGCTGTGTTTGTGTTCCATTCTGTACCAGTATATAGTAGAGCTGCATGTTATCACATCACGATCACAGTAATGACCAGGACTTTAGATGACGAAACATTTGTCTGGGCTGCTGCTAATTTGGTACCATACAGACATTTACTTACACCCTGGTGTAAGCAGATTAGTAGTATACCTAAGATACTAATTAGAAGCGTATTAAGCATATTAAATGTGGCGTATCCTTTTTTAATTAACGTGTCGGACTTTAAACTCCAAAAAGTACCGCCACACCACCAACATATTTTTTACCTTGTTTATCCACAATATCTCGCTCTTTTGTTGCAGCTGTTGATCTGTCCCTTTCGTCATCGCCAGTTCAGTGCTTATCGCTTCCAGAACCCTGTAGCGTGCTCCGCTAACCGAATTTAATAAACATAAGGATTTGCAGAATTTATACAGATTACTAACTTATGGCCATCACAATATACTTATGGCGTCATTAATATTTTAGGTGTACTACTGAGAGTGTCCGTATAGTTACCAAAAAGCCAGCGTCCGGACAAACGTTTCAGCCGTTATCTAAAGCGGTGGTGATTATGTGATATGGCGCAGCCCTGCTTTAGAGTCTCCGTGCGCTGCCACATGCTGTCTGCGCATCCCTCACTCAGCACAGGGTGCAGAGGCATGGCTAACATGCGCAGCGGCTCTGCACTCAGCTGCTGTCCTCTCTGCGCAGCTCGCCTCTGCCCTGGACCTGCCCTTGCTGCGCATCAACCAGGCCAACAGCCCAGACCTGCTCAGCGTCTCGCAGTTCTACTCGGGGGAGCTGGTGGCCTATGTCAGGAAGGTACGCCGTAACGTGTCACGGTGCCTCTTGTATGGGGGGGGGGTTGGGTTTAAGCCCCACCCTCTTCAGACAAACCATAAAGGCGCAATACTGTGTGAAAATAAAACTGAGGTGTTTTTTCTATGTTATGTTGAATGTTTCGCTTGCTTGCTCATTTATGATGATACTGCCTTCTGAATCTGTGGTTTCTGCGGTCTTTTACCCCCCCCCCCCCCTTGTGGCATGGTAGGTGCTACAGATCATTCCAGAGAGCATGTTCACGTCTCTGGCCAGAATCATTAAGCTGCAGATCCATGACATCATGGAGGTCCCCACACGCCTGGACAAGGACAAGCTGAAAGATTATGCCCAGCTCGGGCCTCGCTACGAGGTGGGCCGGGGGTTCTGGGAGGTGCTGGGCCTGGGGTGCCGTCTGGGTGTCCTCAGCGACGTGTCACGCCTCTCCTCCTCGTCCGACAGGTGGCCAAACTGACCCACGCCATTTCCATCTTCACCGAAGGAATCCTCATGATGAAGACCACCCTGGTCGGCATCATTAAGGTGGGCGGAAAGTTCATTCGCGTATTTCACTCTTTCCTTTCGAAGTATCGTCCAGACACAGATGTGCAGAGATGAATCATGTTGCTCTGCAGCATGTTTCGTCCAAAGCAGCACATCTCGGGATTGACAACATCGGTCTCTTTGAACATGACCGGTTTCCACTGGGAATAGGTCATATAAAACCTCCTCATAGAGTCTCTGCAGTGTTTTCTGGTTCAGCTGCCTTTCCTGCCTGCAGGTGGATCCCAAGCAGCTGCTGGAAGATGGCGTCCGGAAGGAGCTGGTCAGGAGAGTTGCCTTTGCACTGCACAAAGGTCTCATCTTCAACCCAAAGGCAAAGGTGAGAGATCAGGTTGTAGACCAGGAAGTAGGCTATTGACTGATTCGCTGTGCCATTATGGGAACTGAATATCATTGGCTGAAAATGCAGCCACAGAGCTATAATTGGTCATTTGTTTTCCGTGTCCCTCCCACGCTGATGTGTGCCAATGCCCCCGTTACCCACCCAGACCAGTGAGCTGATGCCCAAACTGAAGGAGATGACAGCCACCATGGACGGCTTCTTCCGCTCCTTTGAGTACATCCAGGACTACGTCAGCATCTACGGCCTGAAGATCTGGCAGGAGGAGGTATCCCGCATCATCAACTACAACGTGGAGCAGGAGTGCAACAGCTTCCTCAGGACCAAGGTGCGCATAGGTTTCTTAAATGTGCCGCATCACATCTGTTACCGTGGTTTCTGCAGCTGTTGAACTCATTCATTGTCTAGTTTTTTTTTATTCATTTAAGTTCTACATCCCTGCCTATTTTCCATGCATATCCTAGACACTACTGTCATTGTTTCCAGATCCAGGACTGGCAGAGTGTGTACCAGTCAACTCACATCCCTATTCCCAAGTACCCCCCTGTGGATGAGTCAGCCACTTTTATTGGACGTCTGTGTAGGGAAATTCTCAGGATCACCGATCCCAAGTATGATCCCGTCCATCGTTACCGCTTGGATGAATGGATGTATAATTTACTTTATGAAATACAGAGGTTTCCCCTAAGTTTTAAGTGGAATGCTTTGCCGCCTTGTTCGTTCTTGAGAAGATAATGCCCATCTGATGTGTGGTTCTGCCTCCCGAATTGTGAAGTCATTTACTTTGCGAAACTGGCCATTTCAGAGTCACCTGCTACATCAACCAGATGAACACCTGGTATGACATGAGGACCCACCAGGAGGTGACAAACAACCGGCTCTTCTCTGAAATCCAGGACACCCTGGGGACCTTCGGCCTCAATGGCCTCGACCGACTTCTCTGCTTCATGATCGTCAAGGAACTGCAGGTCACCGGCTGTGGATTAGTTCTCTTGCAGAATTTTAATTCCTAAAGCTGCTGCAGCATCACATTCAAATTTCGCTTAATTTCCATAATTCAGCAGCTTCCGAACAAATTCTTGTTGAAATTTTTTTTGTGTCTGTATTTCTGCACATCAGATCAAGCTATCTGTGATTTTTAGAGAATATTTCAGTAAGTTTTCAGTAGGTCTATCTGATGGTGTGAGATTCTCTTCTGCAGAACTTCCTGACCATGTTACAGAAGACCATCCTCCGGGACAGAGCTGTAGTCGATGTCTTCAAGGGAATGCTGAGTGTCGTCAATCCAGTGAAAGGCATCGTGGGTAAGTCCCAATATGGCAGCTAACCTCCCCATACACACACACTGTGTTCCTTCATTCTACATGTCATATTCGTGTGTGTCTGTGTCCTCTTTCAGCAAACGCCTCAAAAGTCTACTCAAGCGCGGTGACCAAAACACAGAAGATCTGGGTGGCATATCTGGATGCAATCCTGAAGGTATGCAGTCCATTTTCACGTGTGTCTTCGGGCCGCTGCCTCGTAACACTGACGTGTCCTACGTCCTTTGCGTTTGTCCCAGGTCGGACAGATGCAGATCCTCAGGCAGCAGATCGCTAATGGGCTAAACTACTCCTGCAAGTTTGACTCCAAGCATCTGGCTGCCGCTCTGGAGAACCTGAACAAGTTGGTCCGAATTGCGTTTTCCTTAGTTCCCGCGCTGCCGGGATGTACGACGGCAGGGCTGGGTGGTTGTGCTGGCCGTCATTTCCAACTTGAGCGGGGTACTTTTTGTTTTGGGTAGGTCTCTGCTGGCTGATATCGAAGCCCATTACCAGGACCCGAGCTTGCCCTACCCGAAAGAGGACAACACTCTCCTGTATGAGATCACAGCCTACCTGGAAGCAGCAGGAATCCACAACCCACTCAACAAGGTCCTCTGGTCTGCTCGGAGATGACGTTGCACAAATTTGGCAGGAGGTGCTCAGTACTCACACTATGTTAAAGTGCAACCTGTATCGGTCATACAAGTGTTAAAACCTGTGTACCAAGCTAGCTAATCTTAGCTATTGGCACACAAACCCGCAGGAGCTTAAACGGTGAATCTTAGATCATGTATATACTCTTGACCAAACATGCTGCATTCTCCTCTCTTCATCTGCAGATCTACATCACCACCAAACGGTTACCATACTTCCCCATCGTGAACTTTCTCTTTCTCGTCGCCCAGCTGCCAAAACTGCAGTACAGCAAGAATCAAGGTAGGGGGCACTGTTGGACTCTCCTTTTTTTTTTTTTTTTTTAAATGCCGGCTGCTAATTCTGGCATACGCTTGTCCCGTCAGGAATGACGTGCCGCAGAGCCGCCGATCCGGTGGACTGGCCGCCTCTGGTTCTGGGTCTGCTCACTCTACTCAAGCAGTTCCACTCCCGCTACACTGAGCAGTTCCTGGCTTTAATCGGCCAGTTTATCCGCTCCATCATGGAGCAGTGCACCAGGTATCACCAAGCTGGTCACTGTACTCAGCTGTCACATCAGCTCTGGTCACAAACAATCTGATGCGTAAAAAAAAAAATACTTTTTTTTTTAAAGGGCAGATTATTACATATGATCTACACGAGTGGTTTTGTTTTTTGTTTTTATTCTATGAGTTTTAAATATCTTGTTCTATTATGCATAAAAATGTGTTCGATAATCTTGTGACCACTGTGGGTCAGAGGTCTCCTGTTTTTTTACATTGATAGTTTTTGTGTCCTGTCAATCAGCTGTTTTTTTTTTTTTTTTTAAATCACCAGTCAGCGGATACCAGAAATGCCTTCAGATGTGGTGGGAGCACTGGTATTCCTTGAAGATTATGTGCATTACACAAAACTTCCCCGTAAGGTAAGGAGCAGTCTCCTTTCATGAGAGTCTGTCTAATTTCACTTTAAAGCACGGTCTGCAGTTTCAGCAGGCCCTGTAACTGAAGCCACAGTCTCTGAAACTGGCCGCTCTCTTCCCATTCAGGTGGTAGAGGCCCACGTGCCCAGTTTCATCTTCGATGAGTTCAGGACGGTCCTGTGACGGCAGCGGCCGATCCCAAGTGGACCGCAGAAGTGTCTCTGTTTAACAGAACTGACGTTTTCCTTCTCATACTGTCGATTAATCCGAAAGCACTAATGAAATCATTCAGCGTTAGATTTTTATAATGTAACATTTTTACATTGATAGTTTTTGTGTCCAGCTGCGGTTAGCTTGATTTGTCTTTGTATGCAGTCAGAGCCTCAAATGCCAGCCATTTTGCTAATAAAAGCCGTGTACATATGTCTGCATATTTTGTATATTCTACCAGCTTGACTTACATATTCCTGTAGAAATTCAGAAAAATAATCTTTCTAGTATAATCAGCTAAACATCAGCAGGGAATAATGCATAGTAATGGACAGAATCCATAATTCATACGGCTGTCCAGCTGTTAAGTTCTAACACAGTTCCCGGTGTTACTGAGTCCTGAATTGCAAACACAAGGCCATCCAAGGAAGGTTCTCCGCAATTGGCTCCAGGGTTTCGACTTGCCTCTGAATCCACAGGGATCTGTACTTTGTCTTAACGTTGGAATTGTTATTAACAGGATCGGATATTCTATGACACAGAATGTTACTCTCTTGCCCATCACACTATTGATTTTCAAAATGTGTTACATTCACAGACCTGGTGAATATTAGCTGAATCCATCCGTCTTCCACGTGGCTACAGCATTGGGGTGGGGGTACTTGAGGGAGCATAGAGCAGAAGAGGCGGCTACATCTTGGCGCACACATGCACACAAGTCGCACACTATGGGTAGCCTGCGGAAGAATGTCCAGGTGTCGGGGTAGAGCATGCATACTCCACACGCACCACTAGGGGGAGCAGTGCTACGAGGCACTAAATCCACTCAGGGTAAACACTGCATTTTCTGCAGTTCCCATCTGATATTTGAAACAGCCTCATTGTAACGCAGAATAAAGACCAGCTTGTATTTAACCTTCCCTGTCCTACGCACGTTGCTGCATTACCATTTGTGATCCTTACACAAATTAAGTCCCTCATCTAGAGGATTTGTTTCTATTTGTTCAATAAACAGGAGGACTGTGGTAGTAACAAGGCTTGTATGCAGTGAGCTGTCTTAGCTAACATCCTGCTTCCACCAGGAAGACCATGTGACTTGCATGTCAGCTGAAGAGTACTTGGGAATCCCTGCATCACATGACTCATTCAACTTCATGCACCTAAAAACAAATACATCACTATGGATCACCTCTGCAATCATGTAATGCTTATAAAATGTTTTGTTCAAACTGGCAGTGTGTTTGATTCCCATGCAACATAATTCTCACCATTACACTGCCTTTAGGTAAAGAAACATGGTAAACATTTATCTGTATTAACTGCAAAATGTTTCACCACCACCATTTCAAGTTCCTCTATATTTCTGGTTTAATAGTACCACCATTAACCAGTTTTAAATAGGATTATTCCTCTAAACGAATATCCGTGAGTTTAGTTTATTATTTCACTACCTCTATCCATTTTCCAGTTGTTCGGGGTCTCATGGGTTCAACGCAGGGCACATTCACGCCTACAGTGACACAGAGGACCGCACAAGATATCCCCTCCCAAAACATGCACACTAGAGGTGTGAGATAAGTGTTACCACCGAGCAGGGCTCGTAGTTCAGCTCACAACAAGCAATACAGAACTATAGACTAACATTAAGATATGATAATCAAATTAAAATTACGTTGGAAAATACAGCGTCCGTTTGGAACAATATTTCAGTGCATGTGAACGACTTGTCACAAGTTGCGTTCTTAAAACTCCTCATCTTAACAAAACGATTTTCATCAAAGTAATCTCTGTTTCACATCAGCACCTCAAAGTGCGCAGTCTGCGCATTTTTCCAGGTCGTTGTGGGGAGTCGGCAGCTTAAAGGTGTTTATCTGTGTTTAACCTAGAAGAGCGAACTCCTTAACCTACTTTCATGCCGGCATTCGGCACACTAGAGACGATTGGTGATTCGAGCTGTGATATGGGATATGTAGTCATTTGGGACCCTCTGAAATATTGACAATAATGCGTTTAGAACACCATATCCCATAATGCAATAGAAGGCGAGGTCAACGCGGGGTGTTTCTGAATTTTGTCGGAAATTTCGAAGAGTGACAGAAGTAGCCAGCAAGCCTGGGGTGGGTGTTGTTTTGCTTTATGTTACTGCTTAGCCTACACCAGGAAGACTTTATACATACTCTACACGTCGCTCGTTAGCAACGCGCGATCAAGGCAGCTGCTGGATGTGGCCGTTGTCATAGTTTGCGGTTACGTGTCGTGCTGCAGTTGGCTAGCCGGTGGGCACACCTCGCAGGTCCCGGCGCGATAGCAGGGGTGCGCCGATTAGCTCCGCGATTGCGTGCAATATTCAGCTGCCAGTGTTGCAATTCACTCTCGGCAGGTTAGGCAGCCAGTTGACATTGTGAATATAATGACGATGTTGTGAAATGTAGGCATATTCCTTTATTCGGATTAGGGCCAACCGGGCAGTTCTTTAACACAAACATTATCTGAAGATAATTGGCCCGCTTGACAATCTTATACCATGTGACGCCATATATTATGCATCTTTGTACATTAGCTGAGTGAAATCAAATTAACACCTATTTAATTTTATTTTCCGTATAATATAGCCTCTGTGTATTAAATCCTGTTGCATTTCGCTTATGAATTTTGTTTACTGAAGTGTGCGTTTGTTCAAACATGTATTAATGACTGAAATAATTCATTTGTCTCGACACTATCAGCATTGGATGAAATGCATGTGCTGGGGTTGGTCAGAGTATATGCTGATGTGTTTGTCAACCTGATGTTTATTTAAAACAAGGTAATCTTGTAGGCCTGTAGGGTAACAATCCAAGCAGGCAGATTTTAGTCAGCTAATTAATAAAGTGGCTCAGGACCCACTAATTCCTCTGCAATGTTGTTCCCTGGTTGAGTATAACTGCTCCTGGCTGGATGATGTCAGATGCTTGCTTGCTGATTTCTGCCATGTGCCGCTGTGGCTCTCAGCAGGTCCGTGAGCCTTAGATACCTGGCGCCATGTCACTGAGTGTGGTGAACACCAACCTGTCCTCCCTGAAGTCCTGTCAGACGGACGTTGCCACGGCGATGGATGTGGTGACCGATGCCGCCATGGATCTCGCGGAAACCGAAGGTGCTGCAGCCGCGCGACACTTTCATTTTGCGCACGTGCATCTTATTAGAGGTCCCTATGGATCCTGTGCTGTGCGGAGTAGTCGTGGGGCACTGTGGGAAGTTGCAGCGGGCCGTATGTCGCATACGTACGGCGTGGAGAGTGAGTCAGGCTCCTCCAGAGTGTGTTTACTTACTGCGCAGGCAGTGCATCTGCATGGAGCGCAAAGTGTCGCTTCACAGCAGCAGCTGTCGCGCGCTTCTCGGTGCTGCCTGCGCTTACCGGCTGTGCCGCTGCCTTGCAGGGAGCGAGCGGGACATCCAGGCGCTGGAGAAGCTGCTGTTGGACTGTGCCCGGCTGGATGAAGACCTCACGCGCTTCTCCGAGGCCGTGGAGCATGTCACGGCACAGGTGGCTGAACCGTGCCGCGTGGCACGCGTTGGCAGGCGGGCGAACACGTTTGGCGTGTGACCGTACCCACTGCACCCTGCCGACACACCGACGCCATACTCTATTGGTGACTAAAGTCAAAAACTCTTGAATTGAGAAACATAAAGTTAGAGGAATTCCGGAACAAAGAATTGTGCGGGTGACTGGGATCGCGGAACGCGCACACACACCTGCATACGTTGGCTTTGACGTGTTTCCCATGCCGTGTGGGGCCTGACTGGTCCGTGGTGACTCATTCACATTTCTGTGCCCGCCCCCCCTCCCCCCTTGAGTTACTGAGAGATTCTCCTTCTGTGACTCATGAGCAGGCCCTACCTGTCTGTTTGATTTCCCACAATTCTCTGAAAATCAGAGTGTCAGTGTGATGACTGAAATTCCCCCCCCCCCCCCCCCCGGCCTTACAACGGCACTGAGGACAATGCTGAACGAGCCACATTCTTAGCCCGACTAAAACTCAGGCACTGCTGATACGCTGATCGCTAGAAGAAAAAAGAAAGTAGATTGACATTAACACGACTGAGTCAGAGGCTCGGAGGCACATATTTACAGAGTGCCTGTTAAAAATATATCGCCCAGTGTTCACACAGAGCAGAGTTATTACTAATTTAAGCAGAGTTACAGGAGGTCAGGGAGGGAGGAGCTGATGTTTCATACTGACACTGATGTAGGAGTTCATACATTTTTTTTTTTTTGTTTTTTAATTGTGGTCACATTTTGAGGGTAGCGCCGTCCCCCCCCCCTAGGCTCGACGACAGCCCCCCGAGGCGATGCGGGACCTGAAAGACGCAGTGAAGCGGCGATTCGCCGAGCTGACAGACGCCCTCTCTGATGCTGACCTCCAGAGACACGCCAAGGTGGCGGCCTTCAGGGAGAGCCTGAGGAGCTTCAGCTCGCAGAGTAAGGTCCTCCCTCCCACCGCTGCACACGCGTGCCATCCCATGCGGTCCAGCTCCCTCTCCCGGGGTTTCGGATGACGCATCGCACCCTCGCTCTGGCTGACTCAGAACCATGCGGTCCCTCTCGTGCCACACCAAAGGTTCTTTTACATTGCCCCCCCCCCCCCCCCCCCCCCCCCCCCCACCACCACCAGCTTCTGCCCTTGAGACAGCTCCTACCTTCACTGCGTTAGAAATCGGCTTTGCGCCTTCTGTGGGACGTGTGAAGATCAGCGAAAAAGCATATGCGATGTTAAATTGGGCGACCTCTATGAAACCTCGTACTTTGACAGCCCTGAAAAGCAGGGATTTAAAAGAAAAACAGCATTTAAGCTGCGTGTGTGTGTGTGTGTGTCATCTTATTGCATCATACGGGGGTCTGTGTTTTCTCCGTAAATAACACGGGTAGTCCTTTGAAAATTCTGAGACCGGTTATTTTATTTATCCTTTATTTTACCAGGAAGGTTCCATTGAGATACAATATCTCTTCTTCCAGGAAGTCCTGGCCAAAATACCAGCAAATAGGAAAAATAAGACAAATGTTTCATATACAGACACACAGAGATAATTAAAATGAACACAAACTAAAACACATACAAATACTCAATCTCCAAAAATACATAGAATAAAGTTAATTTATATGGAACAATGACACTGTTCTTTAAGCTCAGAGTTTAAGAGTTACGTACCAGTCCGATCTGGAACGACCCCCCTGGACAGGAAGGGTGTTACCGCTGTGCCGTAGCAGTGGCTGTCTGGGGCCTCACCCGCCTCCTGCCGGCCGGCAAGCTGAGATCCTAGATGACTGCTTCTGTCTGTCACGCGTTTTGCTCTGTACGCAGAGTCCCTGTTAGTGCCATTGCAGCGGTGGTCGGCCGCTATTTTTAATTTTGACTCAGTTTAGCGTCTGGCTGCTCCCAGAGCACAGAGCTGAATCAGTGTATTTATTGTTAATGTATTTGTCCATTACATGCACATATAAATAATGTCTTATTTTCTCCTTTCTTATGGCTGCCTTACGTTCCCACAAAAAGATATGAAGGTGCCCATGTGACTGGGGTTGAGGGAGGGAGTTTGGGAAATTCAGAGAGATATTGTCTCTCCGCAGGATTTAACACATCCTAATGTGACATGAATTGCTCCCGTTCCGAAGTGCTAAGGAGGTGAGTGACTTGCGCATTAGCAAAAATGTCACATGAAACCTGATTAGGGATTACGTCATAGCGAGGCACCTTTTTATCTTTAGTTGTAATGCACCATCTTGCCACTAGGAGGCTGCCGGAGACGGACGAGCTGCTCCGGTTTGCGAGCCACTCCACAGGCGACCGTGAGACCGGCGTGAACCGGCGCGCTTGACCTCTGTGCTTTGTTCTTTGATTCCTGACTACCCAACTCAGGCATTTCGATGGCTTTGCCCTCAGGTGAAATGGCTCTCTGATCCTGATAAATCGCCCTTTAATTTCCTCCTGGCTGAAAATCAGCACATTCGAACACAGGTGACCTTTCGCTGACTGGTTACGGTTTTTGGTTTTTAAAATGCAATGCATTGATGTTTGTATTGTCCATTTTCCATAAATATCCTTTCACAAGTTGTTGATGTCATAGTGTGGCGATACAACAGGATCAGTGCAGGTTTGCATTAGACCAAAAATGCCTGGGGGAAGCATATGCCCCCCCACCCCCCGACACGCTGGAGTACAGATTGTTATATGGGCCTTTCACCGTGCAAAATAACGTTGCACTTCCCCGTGTTGGTTAGTGTGGCTATTGTGGCCTCCGGGTCGTTTGTGTGAATGTCCATGGAAACGGCTGCCCCCCCCCCCCCTTCCCCCCCCTGCTTTCTCTTTCTCTCTCCCTCCCTGCCAGCTCTTTAAAACGGGCTGGGATGGCTCTGAGTCACAGGGTGAGTCATTAACGGTGCAAGCCGGTCGGGTTGGGGGGGGGGTTGTTGCAGGCCTCGCTGCTGCACTAGTTGCGTTCCAGGAACTGGAAAGGGGGTTTTCATGTCACGTTATGATATGACACCCCCCCCCCCCGCGGTGTTACGTAAGCAATAAATATGTAATCAAGTTATCGACGCTCCTTCTACTTCTCAATTGGGGGGCTTTTTATTATTTTAGACTTTCAGGCCTAAGCTGGATACAGGTCACTGCATGCAGGGGACACACCTGTGGACAGTGACCGTGTGTAAATGTACTCGTGTGTTCGTGTGCCTAACCTGTGCGAGGGGTTTTCACGAGAATCACGACAGAAGTTTGGAAGGTGCAGTTATTCCACGTGCAGTTTGGATGGGATTCGTTTTTTTGTGGGGGGGGGGGGCTGGCAAGAAGCCAATGAATTTTCAGAGTACAAAAAAAACTATATTCATGGGAGGAAGATATTTCTTCTACGTCAACGAGTTATTCCGCGCTGCCGCATACGGTGCTCAGCCTGTCCTGCCCCCCGGCCCCATGGGAAATCTGGCTGTGTGCTCAATCCACAAAGCCACAGACTCGTGGAACCACAAACGGGGTGAAACGGCCTGCCAATCAGAGGACGGGACACAGCCGCATGTCCAGCGGTGTGAAGAGCAGGGGGGCCGCCGGCACGCCGTGGGGGGAGTTGGCCGCCAGGCCGACCCCACACGTTTTTTTTTTTTTTTCCCCTCTCCCTTCTTTTTGCGCGTGAGGCTCATAAAACCGCTCGCCGACGTCAGGCGCCCTGGAAAGACCCACTAATTACGGCAGAGCGGAGAATTCGGGCCGGGAAGGGGGCTCCCTGAGAACGGGATATTAATTGGGAAAATCCCACGTGGCTCAAAATAAAAATAACTCTTTGGCCCACCCATCATGCACACAGCAGGAGCGGCTGTTTCACCTCCTTGCTCCTCGCTCCTCTGCGCCTCCTGCGTGAAGTGGCCGTGGCCTGTACGGAGGGCGGCTGGCTTCTGTTAGCGTTCGGCAGACTTTGCGTAGAAAACTCCAGACCGCGGCATGGCGTAAATCTCCCCCAGAAGCCCCGTCTGTTGCCTGTTATTAACAGATGACGGTATAAATTGGGTGGGGCTTTGCCCGGCTAACAGCGAACCGAGGCTCGTAACCAAAGCCTTTGAAGATCAGGAAGAGTGCCGCTTTGCGTGACTCGACGGGTGGTGTTGCAAGTCTAAATAAACATTTCGGTGGCTGTTCTCCCCCCCCCACCCCATGCTGATGGTATCGACACGGGTCAGGTGTGGAATGGGGAGCTGCCTGCTTACTGCTAAGCTGGTGGGCAAGTGACAGAGGGCTGGTTCAGAGCCCTGGGGTTTTAGGACCCAGGGGACGTTCGTTACTAGCCATCCGACTTTTTGTTTATTTTTTTTTACTTGTTTTTGGGTAGCCGGCTGTATCCCTGTATCACCACATTGTTTTTAGTCCCCACTGCAGTTGGAGTTTTGGGCTTTGCGTAATGCACCCTTCCGGGCCAGATGACCGTGTAGCACAGCAACAGCCCGGCCGCCTGACAGAACTCCCGCACTCCTGCATGTCTCGTGTTTGTCAATAGAAGATGCTCTGAGATTTAGTCGTCTGTGGGGGCCTCTCCGCCATGTTTTTTTTCCCGTTTACAGAGTAGCATGTGATGGCTAAGAGGTGGAGGGGGGGGGTTGAGCTTTCAAACTGTATTTGGGGTGAAGGATTCGCCAGGATGGACAGGAATGGAGATGACGCCTTGTGTAATCCTTCAGCATTTTGCTGTTGTTTCATTTTCTCTGGGGGCAGCTCACTGTGTGATAGCCCCCCCCCCCCCCCACTCGCTGCGCCATGTCTGCCGCCTCGCTGAGGGCTCGCTGCAGGAAGGACACGCCAGAGCTTGTTTTGGAAAAACAGGGAAGCGGTTTCCATGGTGACCACTACTTGATCTCATAATAATTAGCTGAGGGCACTGATTGCACAATCCCTCTCTGTGCCTCTGTTGTTGGTTCATTAAACAAAATGTGCTACTGTTTAAAGTTTCACAATACCTGTCCAAAGATGGCCCTCCAGTCAGAGTCTGCCTCCGTCAGGGACCCCTCTCCACTCCTGTCAGCGTCGTCAGTCTCCACCAAACACACACGCACACTTGAATTTTTTCGCGTTTACAGATGAGTCATCGGCGCAAGATTCCTGCCGCCTGCCCGGATGCCGGCTTTGTCTGCCTATGAATGTCAGACTCGGCCTGTGGAAAAGGTCGAGGGGCAGGTGTGGATTTTGTGGAATGCGTCTCTGCGTCTGCATGTGGCTCACGGGCCACGCAGGAAATTGCCAATGCAGAGCTGCAGGGCTGATATCCAGTACAGGTGATCAGTGATGTTTCTATAGATCTGTCTGTCTTTCCAATCATCCATCCATCCATCCGTCCATTTATCCATATGAATTATACTACCTCTGATCAGGCCCAGAACAGTACCTCTGTATCTTGGACCTGTGTGCATTGCTCTCTGTCAGCCTGAGCAAACAGCTGCATGCAGTTTTTGAGTTTCTGCTAGCTGGTCCGAAATCGCTTACACGCAGCGGAGACCAGCTTAACCCCCCCCCCCAGGCGGTTCCGTAGTTTGCCGTTGTTAGGGTATAAGATGCAGCTTTACTGCAGCAGAGGCCGCAGGAAGATGCATCAGTCGCACCTCATGATTCGCTTCATGCTGATTGGACACTGATATAAATACTATAATTCAGTGCAGCGTGATTAAAACCGTGTAATCTGATGCTATGTGATTCAATATAGTGTGATTTATGCACTTTGGTTTCATACAGTGTGATTTATAAGTGTGATGCGATGCTTTGGACAGCATTAAAACGAAACAACATTAAATAATGAGCCTGATCTCCAAGTTGTATGTGTAGTGCCACATTCTGACGTGGCAAAGAGTTTGGCGGTTCCTGCATTTGGTTATGCTGCTCTGTCTGCGGGCCGCTCCACCTGCGGGCCACTCCGCCTGCGGGCCGCTCCGTCTGCTGGCCTCTCCGTCTGCGGGCTGCTCCGTCTGCGGGCCTCTCTGCCTGCGGGCCGCTCCGTCTGCGGACCCTCGCTGCTCCTGTACAGCGACTAGCCGCGAGAATGATAGCATGTCTGACTGAGCTCTGACTAAGTCGCCCCTAGATCGAAGATTCTAAGAAAGTCTGGTGTTTGATATTATTAATGGGCATGTTCTGAGAAGGGCAGGGGGGGGGGGATGGGTTGGACGTGGCTATTGGTAAAACCATCTGAGCTCATCGCACAGGTTTTCCACTGCATCTCTGTCCCAATATTTACTGCGAACAGTTTGAACAGCGTGGCAGTTGTGCAACCTGCCTGCTCGCCGACTGCAAACAGCCGACTTCTGCGAAGGCGGGGGGGGGGGGGGGGGGCACTGCACAGCGCCCGTCCACTTGTTGTACTTTTTTATTTTTTTCCCCCTACCCTCCGGGTGTTATTGTAGTTTAGCTGTTTCTGTGTTACCCACAGCTATTCTAGACTCCCCCCCACTCCACATCATCATTGCACAATCTTCAAAAACAAACCCTAGTATCTGACCCCGCAGTCCAGCATGCGGTTCCACCAGTTGATCAGTCTGGAAGAATCCCCCCCCCCCGTTCTCTTGCTCCGAGGCATGCCGTGTGTCACTCTGCCATCGCCATACCACACTCACAGACATGACACGATTGTGCAATGACGCGGGCGATAGGCCGGCATCCATACCCCCTCAGAGGAGAGCGCCGGTGGAGTCCGTCCCCTAAGCCTCGCCCTTTTTGTCATCCGTGCGTAATCAGCGCTGACTTTGACATTCCCGAAGGTCGATGTTTGAAAAACAAAATGGGTGACGCCACCTCGTTAAATTCATAAGCCGTGTTTCACCGCGCTCTCCCGCATGCCGCAGCTTGTAGTAAGAGTGGCCCCCGCGTGTGTTTTTATCCGATTCTACTTCTGAGTATGTGCGTGGCGCCGCGGTAACCTGGTCGAACCGGCCGCTCTCACACCATGCTCTAAAACGCTGAATTTGGTTATGATTTCAACCTTGCGCTGACTGTGGCATTAGTCATCTGTTGTTATCGCATGTATACATGAAAGGGAGCGAGAGATTCATCATCGGTGGCTAAAGCACACGGTCGCCAGCGGGTCACCAGCGGGTCACCAGGCCGCGCCAGGCTGACACAATCTCTCGCTGCTCTGCCTTTCCGTGCTTTGCAGTCAGCGAGACCTGCGTGCTTTTAGCTAAGCCATGCTGTAATCCTGCAAGAACAAAAAAAAAGAGTATTGAAATATGTGTCTGATGTTACTTCCTGTTTCCTCTTTATTGTAATAGTGATTTTGTCCTCGTAAGCCCACAATTACCTTCCAGACTCTCACTGATGGAATGGACTAATTTTGGGGGGGTTGATTTATTATCCTGCATGTTGATATCTGTGCTCCTCTTTGCCCCACCCATACCCCCCCCCCCACAAATGCCTTAATTGTTTACCTATGGGGGTGTATCTTTACAAGGTTGTTTTATACTTAGAAACTGTATACTGAAATTGGTCCCCGATATACACAGTGCATCTCTCAGCCAGTGTCATAATCGCCTTTTGGAATGACGCGTTGGGTGGGGGAGCGGTGATCAGCCTCCCAGAAATGCGACTGACCGTCATGCATGCTTTCGCCTTCCTGCATGGGACTGCATGCATGGCGACCTGCGGCATGATGCCGGATGTTCCCAAGCGAGATCCCCGCTCCGGTTCTCGCATCTCCAGAGGTCCTTGGAGATGAGGCTGACCTTCCCAAACAAACAGAGAGAGAGCAGATTAATAAAAGATAAAATGCCCCAGTGGTGGCAGGCAGGGTAGAGAGATGGAGATCAGCGGGCATGAAGGTTAGAGCGAGCGGCAGGTGGTGGAGCGGGTGGGGCCGCCTAGCAACACGCATGCCGGCGTCAGGCGGTGCTTAGCAACGGATTGGCGGCGCGAGGCCGCTAACAGGAAACTGCAGGATGTTGCTTTCGGGGAACAAGGGGAGTGGCCTGGTTGATGGTGTTTGCTTGTGCAACGCAGTGATTGTTTGCTGCACAGCCGTCTGCTGCCACGACCCCCCTGCAGGAGAAACTGTCGGGTTGGGGGGGTCGTTCTAAGTTTCCTGCAGGATAGTATCAGTTCCCCCTGCCTTAGGGGTGACGGGGGTGCTGCAGTGAGCCCCCCCAAACACGCGCCTGCGATGCATGCTTTCACATGCAGGGGGGTGAAAGCGTGCATTTGATGTTCAGCCGCATTTCTGGGTCCGTCTGAACACTGTTACCCTACTGCCACCAACCCCCCCCCCCCCCACATGTAAAAAAAAAAAAAAAAAGGGCCCAGTTATGAAATGTTCTGTTTTCAGACTCTGCAAATCTGTGGCAGAATTTTTTTGCATTTTTTTTTTTTTAAGCGCAAGACCACACAGCAGATGAGTCAACATGCACACGCCTACTTTCCTTTTCTTCCAGGTCGAAACAAGCTGTGCTCCATTCATGCATTTTTTTTTTTTGTCATCGCCGATGAGTAATCCCGCCTGAAAGCGCCAGCCGGTGCCCGTTTCGGCTGAGCACCATTGCCTGCCTCCTCGGACCGGCAGCCTCGTCGACATCGGTCATCTGTGGGTCCTTCATTCCCTCTGGAGTCGTTCGAGAAGTTCCCCCTCATTTGCATGGGTGTCAAGCGCCACCCCTGGGGCTCCTCTCTCTCACTCGCCGAAAGCAAATGGGGAGGATATCTGACTCGGTGGGTTGTGGGTGCCTATGACCGGAAGGTCGCTGGTTCGAGTCCCAGGGTTGGTAGTGTGTTTTCATCATTGGGCCCTTGAGCAAGGCCCTTAACCCCAATTTCTCCATGGACTGGGTGACCCTGTTGTTCCAGAAATGTGCATCATTTTGGATAAAGTTGTCGGCTCAGTAAGTAAAAATGTAAATAGCTGTTACGTGTCTGCTGAGCGCACTTGATGTACCTGGTATTTCCGATACCTGTCCTGCGGTATGAGGTGGATAATGGAATTTTTCCCCCTCACTGTCCTGCTGAGATTCATACGAGGTTTCATGTGATACGAGGAATTCCGAAAAAGCGTCGCACAGCGAATTCTCTGGTTTCATCCAGGCTCGCCGTGTGATGCAGAAAGGCCTGGATTGTGTGCCGGCGCTACGTTTGATCCTAACCCGCGAAGCCGCCTATTCATTTTGGGAAAATTGAAAATATAATAGGGGGAAACTCCCAGCATCTTTAACGGCCGGGTTTTCCTGCCTCGACACGCGGGGGGGAAAAAATCCTGCATCCGGGGGGGGGGACAAGGGGCGTACAGGTTATCAGCACCATGTGGAAAAAAAGGAGTGTTCCAGAAGAGCAGATAAGGCGTCTGTGCTGAGCTCGGGACGGAAAAGCCGGCCAGAGAGGGACGTGTCGTGAGCCCTGTGGGGGCTGTGTCATGGGGATCACTAGAGGCATCAGGCGGGGGCTGTGTCATGGGGATCACTAGAGGCATCAGGTGGGGGCTGGACCCAGCAAACAGCAGATCTCTCATGCCGCAAAGACCCCCGATTCTCCGCCCACGGACAGTGCACTTTCTGTCCTGCTGGTGAACCGCACCGACTCCTGCCGTTCTCCCTAAGAAGCACGGGATCCTTCGCTCTCATGGCAAAAGGATTCTATTATATGCTCACATCGCGGGGGGTGGGGTAGCCTTGAGTCACTGCAGATCCGACCGCATCCGGTCTGTCGGTGGTCTTTCTCTTAGACGCAGTCTCTAGATCGCACCCCTGACCCGGACACGCTCCGGTCACCGAATCCATTTTGCCGCCCCCCCCCCCCCTTCTCGACAGCACAGCTCCTGAACACAGAAGGGGATCGTTTGCCTTTTACGACTCTGCACTGTAAAAAAAAAAAAAAAAAAACAGCAGGCATCTGGTTTGCATTACAGCTCGTATGTGAGGTGGGAACAATGCAGACGAATCGTGCTTCTGCAGCTTATGACTTTATTTAATTATTTATTTTTTTTGTATATCCGACTATAATGAGTCACTGAGGTCCCAAGAACAGTCTGTGTCTGTTACAGTTCTAGTCCGCTTTCCTCGAGGATCATCATGTCCTAAGTGATATACAAGCAGACGGATAATACGACAGGTTGCCCTTTCCAAGGTGGTGCCCCCCCCCCCCCCCCGCCCCGATTTCCAGAGCTCTGATGCTCCCTCCCCTTCCCTGTGTTGCAGCCAATCCCTCAGCCAGCCAGAGCACGGAGGGAGATCTGGATGATGACATCGCGGTCATGCAGAGCCAGATTAACTTCTCCTGTCCCATCACCCAGGTAAGCCGCCCCCCCCCCACCCAGCGTGCAGGTGCGGGGGCCCTGTGTGGCACACCACCGCACCCGTGCAATTTTAATCGATCGTTCCCCCCGCCCCCCCTCCCGAATCCAACACAGCTGGAAATGGTCAATCCAGTGAAGAACATCAAATGCCACCACCACTATGAGCAGGAGGCGGCGGTGGCCGCCATCCAGCGCAGGGAGAAGCAGAAGAAGAAGTTCCGGTAAGTGGCCCGGTCCCTGGCAGGACCAAAGCGCCTCCGCCGCTCTCCTGATGTCCTGGGGCACGGAGCTGGATCATTTCATTTTATGGAGGGGCAATTAAGCGGATTAACGCGGCTGGGAGATAAGCCGCTACCTCGCAGCCTGCCCCATAACGCACACAGCAGCTCCTTCCGCGTCCACCTCACTCCACAGGCGAGGCTCAGCTGCACCTCCTTCGCTCAGCTGCACCTCCTTCGCTCAGCAGTTATTAATAAACTGGGAATCCTATATTTCACCTCGGCCGCGCCCCCTGGAGGCTCGTCGGCGTCACGACGCGCCCGGCTCTCTCTGCGCCCCCCCCCCTCAGGTGCCAATGTGACCACCCGGTGTGCCGGCAAGGCGCGAGCATGGACCCAGCGGGACACGTCGCACGCGAACGCCGGCCCCCTCACGCCGTTCGTGCTTCTCGTTATTAATCGCGGCCTCCCACGCAACACAGCTCAGGAAGTACAATTACAATTACAATTACAATTACAACTACAACTGCACTTACAACTACGATTCTCTTATCAGAAACACTACTGGCCATTCAGTGTATTGATCTTCAGGTCTTCAGGTCTTTTTTTCCGTTTCCTGCCTCCGTATATTAGCTGTGTCCCCCTCGTTTATGAAAATTTACTTCATTGATGCATAATCCCCTATAAGGCCACGTAAATTGCTCACTCTTAATGCCCAACACAATTGCACACAGGATTACAGGTGTATTTAACTCAAGTGCGGTAATTTCAACCCAACCCGCCATGAACAATCTGCCACAGAGGTCATTGAACCTTCTGTACTTTGAGACTGGATTTTAAAAAAATGGCTTCTGTAAAAAACAAACTTTTTTTTTTTTTTTTTAAGAACTTGTTCCGGGTTTTTGACGTCAGCGTCCACCATGGGGGAGGTATGAAGCGAGCTGCCATCCTACCGTTATTCTGAGTGCTTCATTTGGCTGGTTCCTGTGAAATGTGCTGCCTGGAAGCGGGCATCCTCAGGCAAACATGTGGCCCTTTAAAGATCCTGGTCGCTGTTCTGTCTCACAAAAAGGAAAGCGGGGGGGGGGGAGAGCCCTTGTGGTAACCACAGCAGGTTTGAAGCTTTGTGTTTAATCTCTGGAGGAGAAGCGCTCCTGATCGTCATCAGGGAAGGTGTTTGGGCGGGGGGGGAAGGTGTTTGGGCGTGGGGGAAGCCGTCGCGGTGGTTTTGGGATGTTCTCCGCCTTTATGGAGCGAGAGCGATGTTGGTTGACCTCCAAGGGAGAAAGTGAGGTTGGAGAAAGCCAGAGTAGGCCGTCGTGTGGGAGTGTGGCTTGTTTGCATCTGCCTACGCGGGGAATGACTATGAATAGAGTGCCCGTCTCTGTCATTCCGTCCGCCCTGCCTGTCGGCGTTGCCGCCGGCGACCGGGTGCTGTTGCCACGGGGAGCACTGTGTTTGACCCACATCCTTTTCACGGGTTGCTTGAATGTCGCCACCAGGTTCAGCCGACCTGCGTTTCACCCGAGACCGGAGTCGGTGTACCTGGTGAGGACCGGCCAATCGAGGGCTGGCGCCTGGGCTCACATGACATGGTGTTGATGGGAAAGCAGAGCGTGTGTGTGTGTGTGTGCGTGTGCCTACAGCAGACTAGCTAACTGGAAATGTGTCCTGAAGCTGCTCATGCGGTGTAGGGTCACACAGCCAGATACCAGAAAATACTGCGTGCTTGTGGGAAGAGCCGGAATACCTGGGAAAACCATGTATATTAATGAGAAACGCGAAAATTGCGCATGCAGCGGGTTGTCCCTGATTACATACAGTATTATCGAATCCCTCTGGAGATGTGTAGCGTCATGCATGTAGCAATTGAACCGTGCCAGCTTCCTCTTTCCACTTAAGCGACAGTGTTGACAGATAGCCTCTGTGTATCCAAAATACCTGACCTTGTTTACGTGCCGACGGGGAAGAAAAGCAGGCGGCTACAAGTGAAATTAACGAAAAGACCCGGAAGTGAAAAGCCACAAACATGCACTCATTGTTTACTCGGTGGGTGTCGGATGTCTGTCTTTTCCATTGTTGCTGTTGCGAAATGGCAGATAACCAAGGCTCATAATCGACCTGTTTTTTTTGCGTTTTTTGTTGTTTGTTACGTTGATCAAGATCAGCTTCAGAGGTGAATGCCACGCATTTCCAGGCCACCTGTAAGAGACCAATTTCTCTGAGATGGATATACACCGTTCCACCTCAAGGGTGAAGTGGCATCTGTCGTGGCGTGAAGGGTTTCAGTGTGGAGTGCGGGCTGCTAGTGACCTTTGGCCTCTGCCCCCCCCCTGGCAGCTGCCCCTATGTTGGCTGTGACAACACAGACATGAAGCAGTCGGACCTGGTGCCAGATGCCACCCTGAGGAGAATGATCCAGAAGAAGCAAGGTGCAAGGACATAAAATGCCTTTGAGGTGTCCCGCTGTACAGTGGTGACTTTTTTGTATGAATTGTAATCTTTTTTATAATAAAAATGGAACTCAGCTCTGAAGTTGCTTATAAACTGTGTTTTATTCGCAATCCTGTTCAGCTTCCTTCCCTGTTTGCCTCCCCATGGAGGATCCAAAGTGAATATCAGTAAATGTGTATCGCTACTCTTAACTTCCCCTTTTTCACTCTCTACCTGAGAACTCATGCCTCTGTTAAAGCAGACTGAAATTACAGGGACCCTGTAGTGGATCAATTGCAGGACGCAAAGTGAGCTTCTGGTTGACTGAGAGGAGGACAGAATGTAATAAGCAAAGAATAATCACCCCTTATTTTGGTGCGCTGCCAAAACCGATCGAACGGTTCATGTTAAAGAGGCGGTCTATCTATTCTGTTTACTGTTTCTCAGTAACTGACTCATTCACAACAAATCCCTTCAGGAACATTGTGGGGTGGGGGGGAGCTCAGTGCTGGATCGCCACGTTTAGAAGGTTCCTGATGAGGACAGATTCACGGCACGGCAAAATAGACACGCGAGCTCCTCTCCACGGCTCTGATATGCGAGTGGCCCAAACAAACGGGAGTCACGATTTCCCATGGCAACGGACGATTAAGAGACCTCTTTCTATTCACTCTCTTTTTCTCTCCTCGAAATGGACAAACCCGTTCTATGCCTTTTTTTCCCCATCGTGACAGCCACCCATCGCGGCAGATGAGTCAACGTAGACGAAGACAAAGGCCTGTGGAATCCTCGGCCTCTTAAAATAGCCCCTAATTGAGGGGGGAGTTGCTCGTCTTTTATACTGCCATTATTTGTCTATTTGTTTAAGTGCTAAACGCGTTTGGTTCCTGACCGCCAGATGGATGTTTACATTTTCTGGGAAGGCCGCATCACGCCGGTCTATCCTTTCTAAAATTACATGGCTTGCAGGGTTGAAAGGATCTTCCCCCTGCCGGCGGCCGCCAGACGCGCTCCATGTCCAAAAGGTGCGCTGTTCCAAATCCGATGTCATTGTCATTTTCCATCTATCCCCTTCCTGCCTTTCAGTCACGCGTCATGGCCGCCTGTAACCCCATGTACGTTAAATCTGCCAGAAGCGGGTGTGTAGCACAACGTCAAGCCCCCCCCACGCCATTACACAGACACAGGCTAGTTTTTCATGGGAGTGCTTGAACACTTGTTTACTTTTAATTACATCCTTGAGTTTAGTTTGCATTCCTAAAATAGCTCCCCGCTTTCTCTCTGTGTCATTCCTGCTAATTGAAGCATAGCTCGTATTTCGGAATGTGCCGGAACAATCCAACAGCAAGAAATACCAGGTGGTATTTTCAAAGGGAGGCTGCAAACATGCAAGGTTGGGTGGTCTATCATTATTCCAACACATGATTTACAATCCTGCAGTGTTAAAAGCATATAGACATCATTATCTAAATTTCCATATTCTTCTGATTGTGAGGTAATGCAGTCTTTCATTATTTCATTATGGTTTTCCGGCGCTGAACATAAATGTTGGCGTCTCCATCATTCCCAACTACTTACTATTGACTGCAAAAGTTGTCATGCATCTCAGACCAGCAAAAATCTGAACAGAAGGAGCTTCATCAGAGCTGTAAAGTAATATCTTCCCGTCTTTACAGACACACATTGTTTTATCTGTCCCATGATTTTAGCATTAAACACCTCCCCCCCCATGTCTAATCTTTTCAGTCTGTGGAATGAGCTCTGTCGAAGGCAGCCGAATCTCGCCGGATCGAGCCCCTTTCTGGGGAGGCTGTGCAGGGACGTCTCGTGTCTGCCACTCGCTCGCCATGCAGAAGGCCGGATTACGACCGTGTCTCACGACGGTGCCTGTCGTCTGCTTGAGGGATTGGAGGCGTTTTCGGATCAGTTTGTCATGTTCCTGCGTACAACATGTTCATGTTGACATGAGCTGCTTGCGGAACACACTCACATCCAGGATAATATGCAACCCCCCCCCCTGGCTTTCCACGTGTGTCGAAAGCCAGTGCGATCACTTTATTTGCATAGTCCTACTTAATTACCCATAATTCGATGTTCCATAACTAAGATATAGATTATGTTTAGGGTATGTCAAAGATTATACATTTGATTGTTCGTGGGAATGAACAAAATACGAAGTATCGTAAGGTTAAGTGTTGAGAAATTGCGGGGTGGTGTGGCAGAAACACTAGCCCTGATCTAGCTTTGAAAGAGATTTTATTTCGCTCGGTGTGGCAGGAATTGATCGTTTGAAAAAAATATAATACAAACGGTGCTTGCACGTTTAGTGCATAACCGGAACACATTGTTATGTCCTTGTAAATTTAGTCCTGGGAGGTGTTCAGAAATAGAACAACATTAATCACCACGCTGGCAAAATGACACCATTTATGAATAAGGACGGAAAAATGTAATCCGAGAAATGAGGAGTTCCGTTTCCCCCCGCCGCCGGAGCCCAATGTGTTTGGCAGGCGGTCAGAAATAACACGTCGGCGGTGCTGCCTTCGGATCCGTATTTACCAGCATGTTGCACTCATAACTTTTTATATATATATATAGATATATATTTATATATAGATAGATAAGATGATTGTGCACATACGCCGCAGCTGCAGCCCGAGCGCACGATGAGACGCACAGATAGTTTAAGGGGATGTTTGCCGATTGCACAACCGCTGGGGCCGGTTTCATACTGCGCGTCATCTAGGGGGCTGAACTGGGCGGAGCTCCGGCGGCGCCGCGTTACGGACCCGGGCTTTGGAAATAGCATCATCATAGTTTTAGTCAACTAGTCAAGCGACGAGGTCACTCGGGCTCCCCGGAAAGCCGCACGCCAGCCGATCTCGCCTTTACCTTCCCGGTTTCTCACTCGGATAGACGTGGGACCGTTTTAACTTGCCCGGGATTCTGTGTATTTTCTTTAAACAACTTGATCGGAGGCGGATACATTCAGCAGCGACAGTATTACGAATTGCTTCTTTTTCTTTTTGTAACCAGGAGCATTCATACGTGCATATATATTATTTTTATACTGTTGGTTATCGGGCACAGAAAGGTTGGTTGGTCGACTTTGGTCGCAATATCTGTCTTACTTGACCATGCATGCTTTCGAGGGGAATTAGGCGAGACGTTTTTCCCCAGCGGTTGCATGCAGATTAATTAATAGATTATTGCTCGGGATTTGCGTCCAGAGTAATATGAACGTGCAGTGGACCAGCTCGACGCAAATTATTCGCAATGGGAGACACAAGAGGATCGACGCCGACGAGCCGGTGCCTAAATGCCCGAGGCTGAGCGAGTCTTCCGGCGATGTGGGCTACCTCGCCAGCTCGCCCGGTTCGCCGGTGTGGGCGGCTCCCTTCAGCGGCACCCCGACCCACCAGGGTCCGTCCCGAATCTGCCAGTTTCTACTGATCCCGATCGCGGACCGGGACGGGGTCCACAGCGCCTTCAACATCCACACGGGGGAGGAGTACGTGTGCAAGGTAAAGCCGAGAGATGCGCCGGGCTCTGACCTCATGTACAGACTAATAACGTTGACTGGGCTGGGGGGGGACTCATTAAATCCTCGATTGCATGGTTTTGGGTTTTTCACAACACTGACATTTAAAGCCGATGCTACTCGCCTGTCTGATTTTGGGGAATAAGGTCGAAAGCTTGCAGTTTTAAAAGATTGCCCGATTTAATAGGGGAAAAATGTCCATAATTTCAAGTGGAGGACGAGCCTTTGCGTAAATGTATTTATGTTAATGATCGCCCGGTTTCCTTTAAACACGGACTTTTTTGTTAGCGCGTCGGTCATTGAAATGATCATAAGTGGCGACGAAGCGACCGGACACCGGAGTCCGGATAAGATACGCAGCCTTAGATGATCCGTGCGATTTGCATGAGCGTCACATCTGTAAGCAGCGACATACTGCATGCAAAGTCGGCCACACACTCACACACAAGGCATGTGTGCAGGTTGAATCTGTCTCCGATTACAGGGATAGTAGTCAATGGATGTCTATGGGCATGTCGTCATTGTCTCTAAGTAGCCCCCCAAAAAATAGCTTTCGCACCGTGTTACAGTGCACACATTTAAGAGCAAGCAAATCATGCACAGAAATACATATAATCATTTTGCAATCTGATAATTGTCTTATTTTATAACTATTCGGAAACAGAAGCAGAATGAGATTACTCTTACTATGAAGCTGTTCAGCAAATTGTATTGTAATTAGAGAGAGTAGCTTAAGGCAGGAATCCATTACCTGTCCTTTGGAGAATATGTTTTTTTGTTTTTCAACCCAGTTGCTTTTTGGTGAACAATGCAATATTTGTTCACCCAAAGCAAGCACGATTTCACTGACGACTGGTGTCTTCTCTCAGGTGTTCAGCATGGCTCAGTACCAGGAGAAGATCCGGGCTTATAGCGTCCTGCCGGCCCACAGGAACATCTCCCGCATGCAGGACATCATCCTGGGGGAACGGTGTGCGTACGTCTTCCTGGAGCGGGACTACGGTGACCTGCACATGTTCGTGAAGGGCTGCCGTCGCCTAGGCGAGCAGCAGGCCTCGCGACTCTTCTACCAGGCCGCCTGCGCTGTGGCTCACTGCCACCAGGCCGGGATCGTCCTCGGGGACCTCAAACTTAGGAAGTTTGTCTTCACAGATGAAAAACGGTAAGGGGGGGGGAGACCTTGTCTCTTGGGGTGGGGCAGAGATACGGGAGAACCTCAAGGTGTGAACGAGCAGTGTTCCGGTTCGGAACCCGAAATGGGGGCTGAATTTTAATGCATGAAATATGGGCTCTTTCTTCCTGCTTTTGCAGAGCTGCTAATCCAAACTGGCTTATCCATTTGGACAGTCACTCATTCCTGCAGAAGCACCTAGTTCGCAGCTTTGCTTAAAGGCCACCGCCATTCCCCTGTTGCTCGAACCAGCAATGATCGGCGACTTAACCACTAATGCCCCTGGATCGAAAACCACTCCATCCATAAATCAGCAGCTGCATATATTGGTTACATTTCACCTCCCTTGCACTGAAGTACGTGCTTCAAGGGTAGTGGGCTCACTTAATCAGATCCAGAGGCAGAATGGAGGCAAATATATCACCGTATTTAACCTGCAGTGGGGCAGTGAGAGTCATCGTATGCAGGCATGAATTGCTTGAGATATTATCCACTGTTTCTGCACCTGAGAGCAGGTGTGTGTGGTTGTGTAGTAAGTGTGTAAACGGTGCCTTCACACTTCTCATTTTTGTGTGTGTGTGCTTTTTGTCCTGGTTGTGCTTTGAATTCTGAATTCTGCCTGTGCAGGTTGTATCTGTCCCATTCTGCCTGTACTGCAGCCCCTTCTCTGTCTCACCGGCATCAGATAAAAGGCAGTAATTTTGCGATGCATAATTTCTTTTGTGGCATCGTGACCAGAGGCTTGATTTCCTTCCACAATCAATTACACCGTTTGTGATTTATGATACTGATGTTCTTCTTTATTTAAAAAAAAAAAAAAAAAAAATTGTTTGTA